CCCAACGTGATACTTGCATTAACTGAAAATCCAAGTTCGAAGTGTGTTCCGCTGCCGCTATACTTACATGCGGGCTTTTCAAATTTCATTTGGTTTTATGTTTCTTGCTACCGTAGCATTTGCGAGCAGGGGAAGTGATTTGTGTCAACTACCCTGAAACCTGCAACGAAAAGACCGCAAAGACGCAAAAGAGTCAGCTCTCAAGAAAGCTTGGTTGAATGTGTACTTGGTTGATGCCGTAAGTTATACTAGGTGCACTTACGGCAGAACTGGGCATAAGCCCAGAAACACACTAGGCACATGAAATGCTAGGTGTTTCTGATGTGGACGGGTGCCATACAGATGACGGGATGTGGCATGTTCTTACTGCAGCTTCCAGAAGGTGCATCCCTGGTGAACTGCAAAGAACGGAGGCATTCCCCTTTCACCTCCACAGCCACGGCAGACCAGAGACACCAGCCAGACATGCCCCCCACGTCGTGCCATGAAGTTTCGTGGCTTGTTTCGTCGCTTCGAGTTCGTCGCTGACTCAGGAGCAGGGGCGCATTGAGCCGATCCTGACCATGGCGCCCGAGGAGGCCAAATCTCAGCCGCTGGTCATGGTGAACGTCTACACCCGAGGGCTCCTGTCAGGCGGGACCCCGACGGGGCGAAGGATCCGCAGGATCCGCAGGAAGCGATTCGCGATTCGCGGGAACCGCGTGAAACGAACGGTGGGTTTCGGGTACGGATTCGAAGGTGTTAATGTATGTTAATGTTCCAACCTGTAGACCTTGAGATTATTGAACTTTGATGGTTTTTTGTATGCTTCTTGGGGGTCGTGAGTTGAAACCACCAAGCAGGTACAGTCACGAGTACCGAACATCGGGGCCGATCAGAGGCGTGAACATTGGGGCCGAGGGTGGAAAGACTGAGTGGATGGAAAAGGTGGAACAGATGGTGTTGAGGGACTGGAATGTGGGAATGGATGGGGTGGAATATGGGTGGATGATTTCTATTTGAATCTGAAAAATGATGTCATGAATCTGTGGGTTGGGGCTAGTTCTTGGTGGAAGTGGCACATGTGTGTAGTATTTTGGTGAATGTGGGGAATGTGGGGTGAGTCGGATTACATGGACAGCTGAGGCCTCTACTAAACTCTATTGGGATTGAGATAAGTCTCAATGGACTGGAACCCCAGCGGTAGGGTGGTGCAGGGATGACCACCAAGGAATACGTCGCAACTATACATGGACTTATGATGATTCATGATGATTCATAATTTTCTCGGTAGATGTTTCACCTGAAAGTGTTCTAACTGGGTGAAACTCCAAGGTGCGCAACAGCATACCATGACGGTTACCACAACTCGCCAGGCAGGACACGGGTGGGCTATCAAATGAGGCGCGAGCGAGGGGACTGGGGGCCACGGGGACCATAGATGGGCTTCGAAGAAATTTGACGGTTTTCAATTTGAGGTCGTGGTCCGTGGTTAGCAACCTTGGTCCAGTACTCTATTGCTACTGATTTGCACCGTTTTTTTGTTGCATACATTTTTTTAAAATAGGTTATTTTGCTTGGCAACCAGCTGCCGGCGCTTCCCGCCGCTTCCCCTTCAAGCTGTGCGGTGCTGGGTTTTAGGCAGCTCGAGACCTTCAAGAAGTACGAGCCCGGGAATCCTGGACGACCCCGCTACATGCCACTGGAGCCGATGCCTTTCAACACGCACGCACGTAGCATGGTGGTTGACTTGAAACGTGTGACACCGGACTGCAGGAAAGGCAATAACTATAGAGGTTATACTGCTAGCCTGGGGCTTGGGCGCCCCAAAAGTTGTTTTTCAGTATATACTTGGTTTGTAGAACACCATGTTCCAATAGTCTATGTTCACAGTTTATAGTGCATATAGTTGCAGGTCGCGGCTAAACATCACTTGCCCGGCTCGGGATACGCCGGGGCTGGCCCTCAGAGAATGAACAGCAAAGACGACCAAGGTGGCCAGACCTGAAAGGGCCAATTGAAGGATTCACGTCTTTTGGGTCATGGGGTCGCTATGTAGAAGCCTTGAAGTGGAACATGCCAGGACCCACAAAAACCCCCTAACCTGTAAGGGATCTAAGGGACTATCAATGGAAGCCCTAAACGGGTGTCCTGGTAGTGGAACCTTTTGGTCTGCGCTCCTGTTCCAGAAAACCTGAAAATCTTCAGAGGTCAACCTTGCACACCAACTACTCACAGCGGTGGCTTTGGAAGGTGATCAGCTGTCGAGCATGTTGTAGTTAAATCCTTGTTTTGCTTGATGAATCCCTATGGTCAAATTCCCTAACCAGGGAAATATGTTTTTTTGTCCAGGTTTCTGGACAGCAAATCCAGGTTGTAGTTAATTAAACTGTGTTTGATGCCGCCCTGTTGGTTTTCCCTCAAGGTTCTGACCACGGATCAGGTATTCCTGGATCCGTTTTAATGGTCATCGAGCACTTCACCACGGATGACGTGCCACGTCACAACCGGAGGACTGTCAAGCCCATGGCTGCCTGGCTGATTCGTGGCCAACAAAGTCATCAGGGATTCAACCTTCATGTAGACTTTTGATTACTAACCCCTCTCCAATTGAATTGAAACACCTCTTCATTTGCTGGGGTTCATTAATCCAGAATCTATAGTCCTCAACTTCCGAAAGCCAAACCTTTGGGGCTTAGATAGCTCCTCGTGGATTCCATTGTCCGTGGCCATGCGGAGACAGCTCCTGGGTGAGCCGAGTGCCTGGTCTTGTCGCCCAGCTCTTTCGACCATCATGATTCAAAGTCATCAAAATCATCACGCAGTTGATTCAGGCTATTAGCATTGCTTAGCATGTTTCACCTGACCTTCCCTCTCAGGTTTACATCGTCCGGGCGTACGCCTTCATGGCACGCAACATCAAGGCCCACTGCCACGAGGGCAGCGCAAAGATCCATCGCTAGTTATATTGATAAAGGACTACATTTTTACATGTATAGCTTGGATGCTGTTGCTTTGTTTGCAACAGTCAGTAAACAAGCACATCACTATTTTAGAGGAAGGGCTGCAACCTCACCACTGTTACTGGCAATGGCACTGTACCCAACGTGTAGTACATATATAGGGGTGTATATATGGATTGTAAGCTCACTGGTGTCACGATGTGAGTGAACAATTCGTTCAATATCCAGACCAGACGTTTCTGGGACTGGAACAGTGACATACATCGGGGCAGTGGGGTGGTGGGGGACAACGTAGGTAAAGATTGTAAAGATTCCAGTCCCATGGAGTCTTTTGTCTTTGGGAGAGGACCTTTTAAATGGATCCTCACTCAGACCATCTATGAGTCCCCTGGATGGGTTTTGATGTATTAGACTAACTGATCATTAGACATTAGACATTTGCTCCAACTATGACCTGACTGCAACTCTTCAATCCCACGGATGGTTGTGTCTCAGAGGCCTGTTGCGGTCCAACCAGTCTTGCGAAGTCTCCCTTCGGGGAACCCACCGCACAAGTCAGCGAGACATGGTGGAACGTGGCGTGGAACGAAGGAAGAGCTCTCGCACCCAGGCCCCTCACCAATTCCTCCACTGTCTTTGACCTACCCAGGAAGTAGGTGGATCAGCTGCAACACCTTTTTCTTGGGATTGATTTCCTGACGAAAGATGAACAGACGCTTAAAGGATCAACATGATTCAAAGGTCAACCTCTTCTTTACCACAAAAACGGCTCGGGCGTCCGCTGATCTCCGGGCGGCCAGGTGGACACGGCGAATACCAACCTGGCGCTCCGGGTGGCCTGTGCCGGGGTCTCGAAGACCACCAACCCTGAAGCGAGCCAGGCGGAGGGGGAGGGATGTGGAGGGATGTGGAAATAGATGGTGTCGTTTGCCCGCCCGGAAACCCTGAGCAGACGTTAGGCACTGGCCACACCAGCCTAGAAGGCCTTGGCCTGCACCTCTTTTGTTTAGGGTTTCGAAAGCAACGTTAGGCAGTGGGCACCCGCCCCGTTCCGAGGAAGAGTCGGTAAAAGAGTGTCACTACGTTGGAGCAAGGCTTGCAACCTAACACACATCATCCACTGTTGCTGGTAATGGAATATGCCATGGTATACCGTCCTGAGTTGGGTAAGTGGGTAAGGTGATGTAAGGTGCGACGTTCTCCAGCATTTCGGGCCTCTGAGTGCCGACTCCCAGTTCCCCAATGAATCCACTTTTCCCTATTTATTGACCAGAAACTTCCCGATCTCCCATGCTAAAGAAGAGAATCCTGACTCTATGTAAACCTGCGGCTCGACCCAGGTTGGGCCACCTAACCTCTCCCGTTCCTTGGTCCCTCTTGCTCCTTGCGTCGATCCCCCTCCCAACACCTCGAGAATGGACGTGCAGCGTGCGCATGTGTGCGAGGTGCGGCCCATGTGGATGAAGCCCTTGGAGTTGAAGGTGACCTTATGCCTCTTGGGTGATGACCCAACCCCCCGCCCTAAGAAAACACCATGTATGTATGGTAGCATATATTGGCTTCTGAAACCACCTGGGACAATGTTTTCCAGTCTGATGCTTTGGGACTTACCTGGCATTGGATGCCACACATCAACTCCCGAAAACCCAAACGCGACCTATCTGGGACTGGCAGTCCTGACTTGAAACCAGCTGGGGAGGTGGATTGACCTGGGGTCAGTCGAAGTAGCAACAGATTCCAGTCCCATGTCATGGACTGTTTGGGTCTAGTCTAGATAGATATTATAGATATATAGATGCAGCTTATAGATATAGATATCCCAAGGGTGAGTGCCACGTTCAGCAACATGTTCCTCCTCTTCCGCCGAGAATGGCGCTTTTCCAAGGCTCTGATCATCCCAAAGAACCTCCGACGATGGAGCCAATCACGGTGACGCTGCTGGACAGTCAAACCATCCTGGGAGTAAAGAGCCCCGGCAGATTTGAGAGAGGTCAGGGTGGGAGTTGTTGCTGGGTTGGGTTGGTGGGTGGGTAGGTCGGCCATATGGGCTGGGAGGTGATGTGTCTTAAAGGATCTAGACAGTGTCTTGTTTGTGCTGCTTTGTACTGAGGAACGACCGGGACATTGGGAAGACAGTGTGCACATATGAGCAGCTTGGCGAACGGATCGGGGCCTTAATGATACCCCGGCAGTTCCAGGGGGCTCGTATATGTTGATTCTGGTCAAGATGAATTGGATGGCCAGTGTACATAGTGTCACTATATCGATGAACTCTGCACAAATGCTCCGCTGGGAAGAGCATTAAGCACCGCTCCACCTCTCACTCAAAACACCGGGGAAACGTGAGGGACACATGCTGATTGGCCCCATGACCATTCACCACCTCCTTGGCAACTGAGGTACATGCGGCAGAAGGACAACATGGGACGATGGGAGCCGTATCGGCTGCTGGACGGGTCGAGCTGCGGCGCCGATCTGCGCGATCTGCGGCGGTGTCGGTGGATCGGGACATCGGGAAAGGGTCAAGACGCGCTGCATTTCACCTCTGACCCCATGGCATCTATGGGGATCCAGTGGTGCCTTTACACATTGGAAAAACTGTAGTACAGTCACTGTAGGTGCCAGGAGGGTCCAGTCGTACCGAACCTCAGCCGAACCTGAGGTTCGGTACCACTGGCTCCCTGTCGGCCGGATTCGCCCCTGCTTCTTCTCGACGAAGGAAGCCACCTCTGGAGACTAAGTCTCGTACGGCTGATGTTGCTTGATCCCCCGAACCTGGCCGTTTGACATGCCGTTTCGAACCCCAAAAAGCCCCCTTGCTTGTTGAATTGTTGATGGTTCCTTCCTGGTTCCTTCCTACATGGTTGTTGAATTGTTGAGTTTCAAACATTTCTTCATGGTTCCTTCCTACACCCATGCCTGAAACGGGAAACCCAGGCCAAAAACAGATCCCCCCAACAAACACCGTTGACACCGGTGCCTTCTTGTTTTTTCCTCTCGTTTTCCGCTCCGAACTCCATCCGTGTTTGCCACCGCCACGTTGGCGCGGACTCCACGCCGTCCCGGCGCGCTTCTGCGCTTCCAGCGGAGGTTGCAGCCCCAATGGGTGAAACTCTTCGGCGGCAACTATGGCAGCGTGGCCATGGGCCTCTCGGTTCCAGTCCGACCCGGACGGACGGTTGAGCGGTTGAGCGGTGCCGGCGATGGCGGAGCAAGGCGGAGCAAGGCGGAGCCTGAAGTGAGACGGTGGAGCGGGGAACGAACCGAAGAGAAATACGCCATGGTATGTGAGGAAGCTCTGTTGGGCCCAGTGACTTCTTGAAATTGGCCCTCAAGATGGCGAAGAGTGCAGAGTGCCTTCCTGTCGTGTATTCTCGAGTGTGTATTTTTGTCGGGCCTTCCTTGGCGGAAAAGTTCATCCCTCAACCCATTCACCCATGTTCTTGGACCCCAAAACCGATATATCACTGCCTACTTAGATATTAGCTGTGAACTTCGGAAGATGGCAACATGCGCGTTCAGATGGGCATCCTTTGGTTCTTGTTTGGGCGTTCTTTTTGCCCAACTCTTGGCTTCAGGTTGCTTCGAACTACCTTAAAATGACCAAAACCACCCACCACGCCCCAGGCCTGTTCCGGTTCCGCCTTGGAAAGCGCCGGGCGGCGCTGGCCACCAACAGTTTTTCCGGACCCCTATCGGTGCCCCAGGTGAGGGTTTGGGTTACCCGGTCTTTGCCTGAACCCTATAAATCCAGTCACAAACCCGATCTCTCCCCGATCTCAGGTGAAGTTCTGATCGGCTTCGAGCTGCTGCACAGCAAGTTCCGCGCCGACCTGCCGGCGATCCAGATGTGGCCAGTCCCCGAGGCGCCTTCTGCGGTGAACGGGGTGAAGACCGGTGGGAGATGAGGAGGGTGACGGAACCGTGGTGAACACAAGGTGAAGTGATGTGAAGTGAGGTGAAACACATGGACACAGTTTTGCCACGGCCCACAGCCTGGATTCTGAATTCTAGCTGGAGTGGACTTTTTCGGTTCCTTGTCATGCAGTTCCAGGTTCAAAGACCATGAGCGGAGCTGATGCCAGGATGGGCCATGGAAGTGCCGCTAGCTTCCGATTTGCTGGTCTAGAATCTACGTGCAGAACCCATCTCGGATGGGTTCCAGCCGGTTCCTACCCACCCTGTTTCCAACTCACCCTAAGGGTCCATGACCATCCTGAGGACGTCCTTTGGCCCCAAAGACCATCCTCAGCCATCCTCAGGAAGTACTTTCACCTCCAAGACCATCCTCAAGAGGTACCTGGACCCTATATGGGTCAGAGATGCAGAGCTTCCAATTCGACGGCGCCAGGAAGAATTCGACCCCAAGCGTCACTTCTCAAAGCTCAAGAAGGCCACGCTCCATTTTTCCTTGCACCTTCGGCCTGAACAAGACTTAGTCTTTGGTCTTTTTGCGCGGTGGCCGATCCCGGTCCGGACTTCGCAACCGTTTTGTTCCATGCAACCGCCCTTGGATCCAACATCACCCGCCCAGAAATGGATCTTACACTCTTAACGAACACAGAAAACATGGTGGAAGTGGATGGCATGGGACCCTGGAAGACCAATCTGTCCTCTACCAATCAGAAACAGGAGGCACTTCACCTGCATGGCTTCACCTCTGAACCCGCCGGAACCTCGCCGATCGTCTGAGGTACGGCCTAAGGGACTTGATCCCCAACGGCCATGAGGACCCGGTGGTGAATGTACGGGCCACCGGGATTGCCGGACGGGACCCGTACGCGTGAACGTTGGCGTTCATCACCCAAACGCGTACTACGCGCCTGAGTTCATCAATGTTTCAGGGCTCATGTATACATACATGCAGCAAACACACACATGGAGAAAGGCAGGCGAATCTAGGACGAGTGGCACATTCCATTCGTTGGTGCTATTTTGGAGATAGAGCGACCTTTCTGATAGATCAACAGCACATCTATTTGGATGCATGGAAGCCGACCCTCCAAGTTCAACTTATATACCCATTGTAGTCTATAGGCCGCTAGACCCCGGTTCTGCAAGCAAAGCCATGGAGTCAGTCAGCCCCCTCATTGTTGCTACATGTTGCTACACTTGGTCCGCCAGCATTTCTGCAGAATCTGTTGGGGAGGAGGCGACAGCCGATTTATCCCACAAACACCTATCCAGTCAGTGGACAACCTTTAACCTCTTTTTGGGGGATGGGTTTGCTCACTGAACATCCACGGGTGGCCTGGGGTCCTTTACCCCGATCTTTCTTTGATCTTTCTTTGATCCTTGATCCACACTGTTCAGGGTCTGTAATCTCAATTGTAGATTGCTTGGATGGTGTAGCCCAGGTGGAACAGCGTCAGCCGTCCAGGGCCGTCCGACCCGGTGCCGGGTCCACCGCCAAGGTGAAGAAGTTCGAGAAGCCGCAACCCGCCGACCCCACTGGAGTGCCACCAAGCAAGCATCTTGACCACAAGTGGCAGTGGTGGGAACCACTAGATGAGATGGAGAGGGTTCGTGGAAGAAACCCTTTCTTCACCAGGAGGCATGCAAGTACACGTCATGCAAGTACGAAGTGGCAAATGCAATGGTAGCTCAGTATCGTTTGAGTTTATGTCCTGTTGATTTGTTGAGTGTGGTTCTTTTGGAAGTCGAGTTTGAATGCTTTCACGCCAAACTACATGAACTAAGCCATGGAAATGCCCTCATGTTTCCCTGTTGATGATAAACATGATAAACGCCGCTTCAATCGCAAATTGCAGCTCCAAAATGGGCCACAATGGCTGCTGGGATTGTGGCTCAGACGATGTCGGTTTCTTCTCATGGAAGCCAGGTGCAACACCCGGACAAGGCAACAAATATGGTTGTTCCGGTAGAGACTGCAGCCGCATCCAGGTACTACTCGATGAACTTTAAGTATGCCGCTTGGTGAAGTCGAGCTGGCTTCCGAAGATGGGGATGGGGATGGGGTGGTCGCTGGTGCCAGCTGCTAGGACCTTTGCCACCACCAAACCGCCAAGAGCATTCAAGCAGCTAACCATCGTCTCAAGCATTCCACGCATGTGTTTCCCAACCATCCATGGGACTCTGGGACTGGAATAAGTGAAACAATCGGAAGACACCTTTACCATCATCTTACACACACCTTTCAGATCGGCGGAAGTCGGCTTGATGGACCAAACCACCGAGCAGGCGCAGGTTGTGTCGGCTTGTGTTGCTTTGGTGGTGGTCGGGCCGTGTCGGTTGACGCGTGGCCGGGGGACGGAATCAACACACGCCCCTCCGGCTGAAAGCACCACGTGAACTCACCAAGTCCTTTGTGCCAGCTGAACGGCACAAGCGGTTTGGCGCCGCGCGGTTTTGGTAGTTTTGCGCCAAGGAGAAGTTGGTGCATGAAGGCCAAGAGGACAATAAGGACGATCACTGCCACAAGTGGAGGACGGATGCTCTAGGGCAACCTGGCGATGCTCAGGGGACCTCCCAAAAAACAGATGTGTTTGAAACCAGGTTGCGGGCGCCCTGCGCAACAGTGGGCTGCGACAGTGGGTTTTGTGACCCCGTTTCATATTCTTTTGAGTGCCGGGATGAAAGCCACTATATGAAGGAGATTATGTTGGTAGATCCTGCCAGACTAAGTCAACGCACGAACTCAGAGTATGAGTCTGAGTTCTCCACTCACGAATTTGGGATCTCAACGCCACGCCGCCCTAGAAGTGCGTTTTATTCCAGGTGTTCTAATTCCAAGGTTTAGGATCGTATTCCACATCACCGATGGACCTAAGCAAGTTCTTGCTTCCTCTTTTCCGGACAGCCGCCATTCCAAGTGTTTGCCGCTGCTGGCGTCAACTCAGGCATCAGGGCTGCCGGAATCTTGAGTTCTTCCAGGCCCTCCTTCGGAACAAAAAACAAACACCGGGAAAACTAAAAGAAAAGAACACATGGTTTTGTTTGTTGAAGTCCTCGAATATTTAATTTCATGGGTCTTGGGTCTTGGGTGGCCCATGGTGGGATTTGGTCTGGGTTTCGATGTTTGATCCATGCTTGATAGGCATGGGGGCCCAACAGAAGTTGCTCCGCCCGTTTTGGGCCCTGCAAGACCGTCAGCTGGGGATGCCGGTCCAGTCTGGAGGTTCGCTGGAGAGTTCCGACAGTCAAAAAAACCGTTTGGCTTGGTTTCAGTTAACATCGCCGGACCAGAGACCATCAGAAACCATCAGAGATATGCTAAGTGGTTTACTTAAGGTTTCAGATGTTTTCATATTCAACCCTTTACTTGGGATGATCGATTGTCACTGGTACACTTCTTCCTAGCTAGCTATGCAGAGTTGGTCCCATGAGACTTGGGCCGAGCTTGCAGCCAAACCACTTATATATGTTAGAGAAAGGCCTGCAACTGAACCATCATCGTGAACACTGACCAACTGTTTGGAAGTGAATTCCACTTCGTGAAGATGCAAAGCGGAAACATCCACGGTTACTGCTAGTAGGATAGGCCCAAGTTATACATCTTATACTACATCTTCACAATGTTCCTGTCCAGGAGCCCGTGGATCACCTGCAAAACCTGTTCGGAGATTGGAGACACCCCACTCGAAACCAACCGGCTGCAAAGGTTACTAGTAATCCTTGCAAAGACGGCTCGGGAGATTATTTCTTTCATCCTCCAAGTGATTCGGCCCACGGAATTTGGACGCATTGGCACCGTCCCCATGCTGACCGTGGCGTTTCTTTGCGGCGGCGGATGCGGACGTTTGGACATTCAGGTCCGGAAGATCAATGTGAAGGTCCCGGACAAGGACCGATGTTTTTGGGTGGGGCATATCGAGTGGAGGAGGCGCACTGGTGTGAATAGGTGACAGAATAGGGACCTTGTATGAACTGGAGTGGGTGGAGTGGAGCCGTGTTGTAAACATGAGGTATCTTCACTTTCTAAGATACTTGTCCTTTTTGAGAACATGTCAGTCAGGGACAACCGGCATGTGCCTGTGTCAAGGCAGACACTTGGCATATCTTGGCGGCATGTTCACAAACACTTGAGTCTAGTGGTGCAAATGAAAACTCCGCCTTTCCACGCGCGCTACCCCTATTTCTTTGCCTCTTGAGATGGTGTTTCACCATTTGATCACTGATACTGAAATCCCGGCAGCCGCCGTGACGGTCACTAAAAAGGCGGGTTTTGCTGGCACCAGGAGATTCTGCAACCCTTCATTGCCATCCGAGTCTTGGAGAAACCGGTGGAACTCTTTCAAGGCCGAGAAACGTGGAACCGAGAGACAACGTCGGTTGAGACATGTGGAGACGGTACAGACGATCGGCGCAGGTATTGGTCGGGGACGTGCGCCAGAAAGGAACGAAAGACGAGGCCGATGTCCCTCCCAAGAGGAGATATGTATTAGTGTAACGACCTAGTATATATTTCTTATTGTATATATTACAATATATATAGCTAAGATATACTGGTATATAACCTGATATAACCTGTTGTGGCTGCACACACAGCTTGATGGACCGCCGAAAGAACTTGAAGGCTTGGCGTGCCTTGGGGAATTAGCTTCTGTTTGTTGTCCAGACGGAACGCCTCAAAAGTCAATCCTGTATATTCTGTGGCTACTTCAATGCTTGCATGTGTGGAGCCGGACTTGCTTGGACAAAAGCAGCACTCTGAACCGCCTAGTTTTGAGGTTCTATTATACTGTTGATGTAAGTATCATGCTGCAGCACCTTGAAACCGGTTGATGTCCAAATTTTCAGTTGGATCCCTTCTGTGAGATCGTTGTGTAAGGGAGCAGGTTCAGTACTCAAGGGCGGTTTTCTTTTGAGCTTGGTGTGGTATAGTACTTATGGGATACTATATTGGTATAGTGACTCCACGAAACATTTGAACGTGAACGCCTTTTAAATTTTAGAGCAATAATCATGCTTGGAACACAGTTTTTCACCTGACTTGGGGAACCCACTTGTTCCTGTCGCTCCGTTTGCTTCTGCAAGGCACCGCGCTTCAAATGAAGCCCTTCGGAGATGAGGGGGCCTTGCCCCTTGGACGGTCCAGGTTTGGGGCCTTCTTTTGCGAGCGTCTTCGGCGAACCTTGGGGATCCAGGTGGTGCACCGGAAGTCCGCGGCTAAGCCTTCAGGTCACCTTCTTTTAGGGGGCGATTGGGAGGGTTTCCCTTAAACATCCTGGAGTCATGGCCTACCCAGGACAAGTGGAACACCTGTTCTTGGTCATTTGTGGTGGGGATTGGGAGGCGGAACATAGCCGGGTCGAGGGGACCTGTGAGGGGGGGGGAAGGAGAGGAAGGAGGCTGAGCAGATGGCTTCTCGAAAACAAGACACACACAAGACGCATGGAATCTGAATGATACAGGGTTTGTGAGAGTAGTTCTTTGCATGCTCAATGGCTTTCGGCGTTCATGATTGATACTTGGGGGAACACCAGGAGCCTATGAGATCATGGTCGCTTTAAAGATGTGGCCCGCTTTTGATCCAAAGCATTGTTTGCAAACCTCCTGGCCTCCTGGCAAATGCTGAGGATTGGCGAGAGCCGGCAGAGTCTAAATCGACTCTACCCTTGCATCCTGGCTTTGAAATATCAGGAATGTGTGTTTTCGGGATGCCGTTCCACTGCTCTAGTTCCAGCTCCACTCCAGGCAGGTTGAGTCGGCTGCGCATTTCTTCCCAAAAACATGATGAAGGTTTAAGGGCTTAGACCAGTGGTGAAGAAATAGTTTGAACTATGAACTAATTAGTTCTTTGGGTGATATGCACTGACCTGCCCATGCTTGGGTGAAGCGACCTACCAGAGCACTCGGCCGACCTACCAGAGTCAGATGAGTCAAACAGTGTGAAGATGTTTGGACTTCTTTGGACAATGAAAGGTCCTTTCCCCGCTGGGTTAGATTTGGTTAGATAGATGTTGCTTAGGCCTTTTGGGGGCATTTCAGGGCATTCCACGGTTCCACGAGACCTGGGGCGATGTGTTCTTCTTCGGCGCTTGGCGTTCGCCGCCCTGCACTGGTCCCCTTCTTGGAAGGCGCTGCTCCGTCCGTCCAGGCACGTGGTACGAAGGAGTTTCGTTGGATTATCCCTACAGCGCCCAGGCGCACCCGGACGGGTGGAGAGACGGGTGGAGAGATGCTCAAGACGAACGAAGGATTCGCCGGTGGAAGGTTGTGGCGAGTGGATGATCAGTAGCGAATCGACTACTGTATGTCAAGTTCAATGATAGCCTTAGTTTTGGGATGTTTGGGGTGATTCTCAAGTGATTCTCAGGCGATTCTCCCACTTGTGACCTTCATTTTGAGGTCAAGAGTCAGGCGATTCTTGCTTGCTTAAGCCGTTTAAGCCCCTGTTCTGTCCTGGTTCTGTGAGGAGAACCGGATCAAGAAAGGCGTGGATAAGGCGATCCGTGCCTGTGCTTCCAGGAGCACCGTTGGGGGCAAGGCAGGTGGGGAGGGGAAGGGGTTTGGGCTGGTGGAGGGGTTGTCCTACCCCAGACCACTCAGACCACTGGAATATACTGGTCTTATTCTACTAGACCATCCATATCAGACTGGAATATACTGTAATTATTCCACTAGACCATCCATATCAGACTGAAATGTACTGGACTAGTTGATACTACAGAGAAGAAAACCATTGACTGACCTACCAAGGAAAAGTGGACAGCCTTTTAACCTTTTTGGGTGGATTAGTATCCCCAGGGCGGGTGAAAGAGGTTAACCTGCATTTTCCACGTTGAAACTGAGGGAGTTCTTCTACGATCTATTCATAATGTATATAAGTTAACTATATATATATATATTCCATCCATGGATGGTTTGTATAGATTCTTAGATTGGACACTCACCAAACAAACAGATTGCATGAGTCAACACTGAGAGTTGGATATGAGAAAAGAGCGTCCCCTACAGGGTGTATCAAGATAGAACCGCCATGAACTTCGATCAAACTGTGAATTTGGGTGGCAGGATGCTCCATTCACCCGTTGGACTCTTCCAGTAATGTGATGTGAGATTTCCCACAACTCCTGTTCTTGTTTGTGAGGCCAAGCATAGAGGTCCCTAATTAGATCTATGGGCACCCGGAACCTGAAAAAGGAAGGGGCTCATCAATCCAAAACCTGTTTTGGCTTTCCAGGGTTTCGCGGAACCTCAAGACACCGGGTGCTCAACCTCAAGACACCTGGTGTTTCTGAACACGTCGTTCTTAGTGTCATCTTGTGTTGGTCGCGTGGTTTTTGTCCAGGGATCGCTTGGGGATGTACACTCTGACTAGGCGGGTGGTCAGCTGGGTTATATCACCCAGACGCGACGCGACATGCCGATCAGGCCAGGGGTGGTGCCAGGGGGGTCAATGGGGCGGCATATATAGCAGAATGGGTAATTCTCTCCCAGGGGAGGTGCATATGTAGCAGTCCCATGGAGTGTATGGGTCATTCTCTCCCAGGGGTTTCTCCTGTCTCTCCTGTCGGCGGGTGACCTTCGACAGGACGATCTTCGAGGAGGAGACACCCGAGGATCGTGCACGTGAGTTGCAGGTGGAACGAGAACAGCGGCGACAGGAACAGACACCTGGAGCAGTTGGAGGGGAGGCGATTGAAGTTGAGTGAGTGAAGTTCTCACAGAAGTGGAAGTGATATCACGGCGTCACTCGTCACTCACGGCTGGAACGTGGTAAAGCACCTTTCCCGTGCCATGCACTTCCATGATGAGCGTATATACGCTTTTATAGGGTTTGTTTGCTAACCAGTTTTGGGCAGTTGGTGAGCTTTAATTGAAGGGTTAGATGACACATCGTGGATGCATTGGGGCTGTGGAGGTTTGTTGTGGACACTTCCTCTTGTTCTTGTTCAGGATGAACTACATGAAGTCGCTCATCACAATGGAAGAGGAGAAGGCTGAGACCATCGACAGCCGGGCCTTGCCACTGGAGCTGAGGCCCTTCAAGTCGGTCTTCAACCCAGCACCTTGGCAGCGTCGTTTTTCGAGCTGTGCGCGTCGCCGTTGGTTTGTGTCGACCGCCCGGAGGAGCTTTTTCGATACTTTTTGGTGGCTGCATAGGCCAGAGGTTTTTCAAACATGTATGCGCACGAACAAAGACTTGACAACTCGTTCGTTCGACACTGGAATTCGACTTGGAGACTTTTTCGTAGTTGTTTTTTCGTATCTTTAATTTTCTATGTCACTATGGAGTTGGTTGTGGCTTAACCCGGTGTGTTCTGACTCTCTGGATGATTCTGAATGCACGTTCTGTCTGCACAGGCCCAGGGAGCGCGAGGTGGGTTGGGGTGGGCTGCAAAGGCCCCTGTTTGGAGGGAGCGGGAGCTTTTAGTACTTGTACGTGTTTTAGTACTTTTTTGGTGTTCGTTTAGAGCCCTGTTCTGGGATTGACATGGAGGGGCTGCAGAGTTGTTTGTTCTTGCAACCATTGACGCCCTATCCTCAAGAGGCTGAGGACCAAGTCTAAGTGCAGGAAACAGCCGACCGAGGCGGGCTATTTGCCGGAAGACCGCGAAGCCTTGCAGTTGCGTGAGGACGGTTCACCTCGTTTGCTTGGCCTGTGGATGCCGGTCGCCGGACCGTAGACCAACCCCCTGCCGGTCGCAGAAGAAGATATGTTCATCGCCCAGTCTGATCCTCAAGAAGTCATGGAGCGACTTCATTGGCCAGTCAAGTCGTGTGCAAGTGAAAACCACGCACAAATCTGACCTGGTCATTCGCCAGCAAGCACGCGCCCCAGTCATGCATAGAGGCGATCTGTTGCACAAGCTTGCATTAGCAACCTTCACCAGAGCACCGCCAGCATTTGTACAGACACCTCCAGTACAGTAGACCTGGTACTGTATATATCATAGGGCACGCATTTGGTGTCCGTGAAAGGGCGATTTACACCGATACACTTATTATCCTACAGTAGAAAGGTCGTCATTCATGTACCGGACCTAACCTAATTACATTGTATTACATTTTCCGGTCACTAGCCACACCACCGAGAAACCACCAATCATATACAAAGGCTACAAATCACTGAAAAGTCTACTCCACCAGCACCCAGAGTGTTTTTGGGACTAGTGATTCATGGCGTCAAGACCTCCACTCTGTAGGAGCACATCCTCAACATGGAACAGTTGGGCAATTTTCCCCTTTGCTTCGGCGAGCGTGCTCATGCTGAAGCCGGGGGAGCCGGCTTGAGGCTCCGAGGGCGCCTGGGCATGTCGAATGTCTCGCACCAAGTGGTTGCAGAATTGTTCGAGGCACCTTGAAGTCGGAATGCAAGGACCTCAACCCCAGGTCCTATCCATCAATCACAGTGGGTCAAGCCATAGTTGATATGACGAGATCTTCCTCCAGACCTTGGGAGGCACATCGGTACTGACCTGGGGTCTGGAAGCTTGTCGACCCTCAGGTGCGATGAAAGTCCGGGTTCGGTCGATCGGTCGGTGCATCCACGTTCCGCTTCGGGCATCCGACCTCTGCTTCCACGCAGCCCACGGCGCATGAGGAAGCTGGAGCAGTCGAAGCAGGTCCATGTTTTCAAGCACCTTGGCGCACCTGGAAGGTCCATGGCATGGTGTGCGAAGCAGTCGATCCATGACAGACATCGTTTGTTTTGGGGTCAAGGACCCACACTCTGACGAACACATCATCATGGAAGTGGAAATAGTCCCTTGGATGATGAAGCCCACTTTCCTTACGAAGAGGGGGTGCCATCCGCTTCGATATGAGTGAGTCGGAGTGTATACCCTGGAACCAGCACCAATCAAAATATGGTGGACCTGGCTTTGTAGTGTCAAATCCTTAGTAAAACATAGTAAAACAATGCCGGCACTGTAGAAACCATTAAATTCATGGTGGGCCAGGACGCCATAGCATGCAGCATCCCTGGAGCAGGAAAAAGTATCAATTTCATCAAGCATCTTGCCCTTTCAAGAGGGTGCTTGTTTTGGGTGGGGTTACCTTGCTTCAGGCGACTAGGTCTTGCTTCAACTAGATGAGCTGTGGCCAAAGGCCAAAACCTCAAGACATGGTTTGATTAGATTTTTTTGTTCCAGTTTGTTGGCCGTAGTTATGGCACCTTGTTCCATGCTGGTATGGCCATTGAAATGATGGCATGGCTCCCATTTTCTTGTTTCTGACATGCCCCATGCTCCCCTCCCTGTGACATGCCCTGTGACATTGAAAGCCCTTAGAACATCATCACCGTTCTCAGGCCCCTGAATCATCATCCAAATCCAAGCTGAGTACAGTGGGTTCAGAGTGGACGGCACAATCCCCAAAAGATGGTTTATGTCGACCCCCATCTAAAAGATGTGTGGGGGTTTGTGCCAACCACTGTACTTGGCCTATATGATTCATTGAAAGCTCCTATTCTCACTTGCTGACATGTTTACATACATGTTTGCATGTGATATACTGGGAAGTGGCCGACCAAACAATCAAAAATCAGAGCCAACACAGCAAACACATGACACATATTGTGGAATATCCTTCGCCTCCAGTGGCACTCCATGTTTTATTTTTGTACCCATTTAAAGCATTTAAACATGCGCCGGTAGCAACCTGTATATTACAAATTATTACAATACGTATAACACCACCAGCAAACACATGACACATGTAGTGGCATATCATGTGCACTCCATATATGGTCCGTTCTTTGGCCAGTTCCCAAAAAAAAGGACGTGCCATTCGTTCCCCACCCTTCCGAGAGACCCGACATACCGTATTACCACCACCAACCCCCGCCGTTCGAAAGAAACCGCGCCGAAGGGAATCCCCTTTCGGAGAGGCCCGACTTTTGGTACCAGAACGCGCCCCTGATGCGGAACGCGGACATCGTCCAGGATGACGAGCTCACGGACTGGAACTTCTCCTACGCCGCTTGGGCGGACCCGGTGGTCGGTCGGACACCGGCCGTTGCCCGTTCGGCTTGGGGGAGCGAAGCACGAGACACCGCGACCGTGTCGACGTAGGCCTGGAGGATGAACGGGCATCCATTTGTTTCGTTGTTTGTGTCGACTTGATCATTTCAATGCTGTGTTGGGCGGTCCTCTCATACAAATCTAACAGCAGTACTGTATCTAACAAATCAATCAAACAAGCCATCCACCGACCAACCAATCAAGAATCATCAATGACCATCAAACATAATCAAACATCTACAATAATCAAAAACCATCAATCATGTCGATCATCAGCCATCAATCATCAATCATCAATCACTGTGTGTGGTGATCAGTGGTGATAAAGCACAATGAAGATAAGACCAAAAGACTCCCCCAGTGGCCCAGTGGCGGTCTCCAAAGCATGCAACATCAAATCATGGAACCAATTCTTTGTGCCATTCTCTTTGTGAACCTCCTGGGGTGAACCGCACCGCCAAGAACCCATGGTCCGTGGCGAAGCGTTGCGCATCTTTACTCATTGCTTCAGGATGAGTTGGTCCTTGCAGTGGAGCTTTGTTTGGTCAGAAAGGGCCAAGTCACCAAAAGATGGCCCAAGTCACCGAAGGATGGATCACAAGATGCCCCGGTGGCCGCAGGCGATTCGCTTGCCTGTTGAGGCTGTCAGACTGTCATGTGACGAAGTCGAAAGGTGGATATTGCTTTCCGATAAGCTGGGTGGTTGTTTCAGATAATATTATATATGATATTTGTACGATTTGTAGGTTCCACCGAACCGTTGCTCGCGATCTATGTTGGTGATGATTGATCCGTCTCAGTCTCAGACTTTATAATAAGTGTTTGTTCGTTCGTGAGTTGTTCAACCACCAACCAGTCAGTGTTTCTCTCCTTTACGTGTGCTTCCGAACCCGCAGATCGCTGCAGATCGCCTCCGGTCTCCGGGCACCGGGCGCGTGGGGTCGAACTCGCAGTGATGAAAGGTGTGACTCCCCCGCTAACCCAAACAGTCCAGGTATGGACTATACCTTGACCCCCCAAACGCCCCAAGATGCCCCAAGGTAGGTAAATAAAGCAAAAATACATATGCCAGTTCCATGGAGTGCTTGTGTAATCGAGGACTCCCACATCCAGCGTGAAAGGGTCTCTTTCAACTCCTTCCAGTGGCGCGTCTTCGCTCCCGAGGAGAAGGTCTTTGGCTTTGTGAAGTGTGTCTTCAAGTTGATGGACGGTTGGGATCGAGAGGCGCAATCTGACGACGCTGCAGGCGCACCTCGGGGGCGGAGGTCGGGAAGAACGGCGGTGCGACAAGCAGCGGAAGGAAGCAAGCCATATTAGTATTATTCGTCATGTCAAGTTCAACTTGCTGGAAGCTGAGCTGTTCAAAACTCATCCTCTATCCAGGATTAATTAGGCGGATGACCGATTAACGAGCATTTTTAGGTTGACGATGTTAACGTGCCAAGTGGTCAATATGTGTCAATGTATATGCAACAAGCTTCTAGAAATGGACCTCCCACATGTGTCATCATTTGTCACTTCATGGGAGTTGCTTTTTCCTTTGGGTGGTGTACATTGAGCAAACATGCATCTTCTGGGCAGGGGAAGAATGAGAATCAACGCTAGTGGAGCTTGGGAAGATCATTCTCATTTCAACTTCAAACCAATGTGGCCGCAGAGATGTTATTAAAAGAAGGGTATGTTTTGTTTTAAGATCCATGAAGATCCACAGGATTTCTTGGATACCACCCGGGGTAGTCTCCTCAAGTGGTGTCGAAGGAAGGCCATCGGCATCACCCAAATAGCCATCCATCGCCCCTTTTTCGACTTCGCCAGGCCTCTACTGTTGGCTCGCGTTTCCGCATGGGCTTAGAGGCTGTCCATGTTCGTACGCTCGGACGCTCGTAGGCACCGCGCTGGCCATGGCAGAGGAGGTCGAAGATGAGGGCGAAGATGAGGCGGCAGATGCCGAGGTCGCCTCCCAGGCCTGCAGGTTTGGAGATGTCTGGAGGTGTGGAAGGTCTGGTGATCATGGGGGGAGGTCGGATTGAGGCATCTCGGCTTCCCAATGAGTCCATGCCAGTCCGGCCCCGCCTCACGCGGTGCCGACTTGACTTCCCCTCAGGCCATGGCGCAGGTGTCCTCGAAGAAGGAGGACGATGCAGGCGCGCTCGATCGGGGACGGACGAGTCAACGTGTCCGTCTCGTGCTCCTGTTCGTTCGGAACGTGATGAGATGTGAGAAGGAACCGGGGGGCTATACAGATGTGGATCGGAGGCTCAGTGGCAAACAAGTCTGGTTTCAGTGCAAAGCAAAGGTGCCAAGTCTGGAGAACACATCAGCAGGTCACACGTCCATAATTGTGGGCCAATGGTTTTTAGTGAGTTGAGAGAACACCTTTGAGGTTTGACTATTTGGGTTTGTGGGCCTGTTATTGATTGAAGACCCATATTTGCATCGACTGTGAAGCGCAAACTCTACCGGATGCCAACTTGAGGTGGTCAAAGAGTTTGTATAGAGTCTTTGAGTTGGTTTTGATGTGTTTGTGGTACGTTGAAAAAATGAATTCGGCAGTATTGCTAGCCAGTTGCTAGCTATATATGTGATTATATGTGTGTTTTAATTTGTAGCGCAGTATTTTGTATATTATGTATTTCGGATCAACCACAAGAACGACAAATCAGTTTCGTGACCAGCCCGCCACCAAACAATACAAAGGAATCCATGCCGCATAGCGTGACCCTTCTCAGGCAAGAAGCCACCAATGTTCTGCACCCAAGTTCCCCCTTCAGCGCCCCACCGCATCACGTGCCCCTCCGCGATTGAAAACAACTGCGCACCGTGCCCCTCCGCCTCCGCCCGAGTGCGGCGGTCCCTCCGAAGCTCCGCTCTGGGTGCTCCCAGGTGTGGTGACCGAGGAGGACAAAGCGAAGTTGAGAAGATCCGTGGGCCCCTGGGACCGCGCAGTGCACACCAACCCACCCCCTGGCAGGAGACGGGTTGCCATTGCCAAATCCAGACACTCGAATATGCCGTATGCCTTAATACAGTTGAAGACCTGGCCTTTTTGTGTGGTTTTTGGTACCATGTCTTCCTGGCAGCACTCTGAATTGGATTTGGGCCAAGCCGCTTCCTCCTCAGGCTTTGACGACGACTTGGATTCCTACGCCTTCGATGCGCCGCGGCGGGTGCAGTGATTCTGGGTGGGAGTTCATGCCGAAAACCATGTCCACATTGGAGGGCCATGGGGACCAAATGGGGACCATGGGGACTGGAAGATCTATAGCTTTTTACACCATTTATGCATGATCCATCCATGTAGGAGCATGTAGCCATGAATCTATTCATCCCCATGGATGGAAAAGGGTGGAAGATCTCGAAATTACAGTAATTACATGGGGTAGATGAAAGGATCCATTTCGACTGTATTACATGGATGGAAAAGGGTGGGCATTTCGACCGTCGCATCTCTCGGAACCTCCACAGCTCGCGGACGGAGTCCTCGGAGATCGCACCGAGTCTCGCACCGAGTATCGCACGGCGACGAGAAGCAGACGCAGACCATCCATGCGATGGAAGAGTTACCCTACATGTTACATAGACCATCCAATAGGTGTCCAATGAACTACCCTGCACTACTGGGGATCTTCAATTGGACAATCATTGGATGGTCCAGGTATAGGAACGTAATTAAATGCGGTCTATGTAGGTAACAATTATTCCAGCCCCACCCCACCCAACACATCCCTCAGTTGTGGTTTTAGCACCATGCTGAGACACCAGGACCATTAAAGACAAATGACTATACCTTCGGATGACATGGGTTTTAGAACACAGACATGGGAACTCACACATTCCCAAGTCATTTGCACCCAGTATATCTTTTGGTTTTGTCCATGTGTTTCTTTTGGCTCTTGTTTGTCTCTCGGTATTTTGGTATCAATTCTTTTTGGGGCGTGCGGTGCATCGGGGACCAGGCGAGTCTGTCAACCCAACACATCGAACGAGCAGTTTGTCTCCCGACCGTGTCGGCGACCTCGCTGTTTTTGAGGTCACGCGGCTCACCAATCGCTTCAAGAACAAAGAGCCTCAGAAAGCCTTCAGAAAGAAAGACAAGAAAGGATCTGCTGAAGTATCCCAAGAATGATGCGATATGAGCCTGCAGGGAAAATCAGGTGCAACATCTTGAATATCCGGAACCTGAACATGTAAGACACGTATATACCTGGATTCAATGTTAAAGGTACTTGGAGGTACCTGGATGGCAGAAACCTTTCTTCCCGTTGGTGGTTTGAAGGGAGCACTTTGGGATACAGTGTTTGTCCAGTTGTTTGACCATATTTCATACTCTTGTGACATGGTGACGGAGCTACAGTAGTCGCTCCACTTCATCACTTCCGATGTTCAGACTGACATGTTTTCGACCGTTCTGATGTTCAGCTTTGCAACAGCACCTTGTTGAGCCTAGCCGCATCAGCACCGAGAAGACCACACCTCCAGTGGTAGCACCTGGGCAGTCTCAGGAGCGAGTGCCTAGTCGCATCCGCGTGCGGATCTATTTCGTGAAGGCCATTTGCATCTTCGGGAAGCAGGCGCGAATGGTCCGCAGGCGTCGTCTACGACGGCGCGCGAGAAAAGGGTCCGGAGCCAACCAGTGGCAGGAGCAAAAGCGTGTGCAGAAGCGGCTCACTGAAGGGGCTTATATATATTACCCAGACGCTCCATGGGACTGCCATACTGCTATATATATATAGTATATATGCCTACATTGGGGTGGTTTGGGGGGTCAATGTAGGCATATATTCCATACATGGAGTGTATGGCGTATATATCATTGATCTTACTTTGCAAGGAGACTTTTTATGTTTCAAATTGAGACTCGGCCGTGAAATGGGTCGAATGGATGATTTGGGAAAGACCATAGTTTTAACCCATACACTCCATGTATGGAATTGATGCCTACATTGACCCCCCGTGGCACCACCCCTGGCCGTTTCTCGGCAGTCCTATGGCAGTCCCAGACACATCGGTTGCTGAGGCCCGTTCGCGAGACACCGAATCATTTCACCCCAACAGCCGCCTACTTTCCCTGGTCGACCCGTTGGATGATGGCCGCCCCGTTGAACGCCTTAGTTGACCGGCTTAAAAAGAGTTCGATTCTTGGAAGGACTTCCTGGAAGTTGGGAGTGTCAGTTTTGGGCTGTGGAAGTTCTTCCATTGACTCCCAAGACTCCCAAAGTGCATCCTGATTTTTGCCATCTAACAGTATTGGAGGCTTCCCTCTTCCTCACGTCCCGGGAAGCCTCACGTCCCCAGAAGACCCAATCGTTTCTTTTGGCCGCCTGTGAACATCGTCCGACATCGTCCACGATGACAGGTGGAAGGCTTTTTCGGAAAGGCCTTCATTGACCCCTACTTGGCTTACAAGTTGGGCAACGTCCTGGTGTCCATGAGGAGCCGGTCGTTATCCTGACAAAATTAAAAACATGAAAAAATAAAGATGACAGGTAGAGCCAGTGGCGGGGTATGACCACGTCCAGCAGAACACCTACAGTGCCAGGATTGTTTGACCAAGCCGTTGCTGGGATGTGCTCGGCAACGGAGTTGATCATTCCCGCTCCTCCCGAGTTGCGGTGACCATTCGCAACGGCAACGGGTTCACAACGGGGTGGCCATGTTCGGGGCAGTTTACTCGGTATGGCCGGCGGGCGAGAGCAGGGCCTTAGCTGAGTGGGTCATGGGTCCTCTGGCGGAGCATGGGTGAATGAAGTTAGCAAAGAATAGCAAAGACCTTGTGATTTGTTGAAGATCCTCATGTCATTGGAGTTCATGCACTGTGGAGATCTCTGGAGGTATTGGAGGTCAGATCTCCCTAATAAAGGTGATGACCTGATCATGATTGTATGATGGTTGATGGGATTCTGTGTGAACCATGAGGCCTGTGTGTGGGGTACCCTTTGTGAGCTTAAAATCCTTAAGAGGTTGATAGAGCATTTCCGAAGGAAACAAACAATTTTTTGCTAGAGAGTTTTTAGGGATTGTGGAACAAAGGTCGCTTGGGAGAACATTGGCAGCTTAGATTGCAGCTTTAAACAATCTACTAATGAATTTTCTGGGGGCAGTTGGGCTTGATTAATAGGGGAAAGTTTTCTCCAAGGAAAACAGTTTTAGGATGGTGCCAATGGCGAAATTTAGGTTCTAAATTAGTCTATTGATGGGGCTCGAGCTGGGCTTGATAAATACTGAAACCTAGGTGCGTATTACATGTCATTCTGAAGTAGTTACAGAACGGACGTTCCAAAAGGGAGATGTGAAATAGAGCTCTTTAGATCTTTTTTTCCTTTGAAGGTTGTAAGGTTTTCATTTCGCTTTGGAGGGTCCAACGCGCTTCTTTCCGGACCAACCAACCTCCATTCCCCCCACCGCCTTGGGAATCCGCAGACGCCGGTGAGAAGGTGGTTTTCGGTTTGATCGCCTCTCGGTTGGGCTCGTCGTTCCCATTTACATGGTTGGGTGGTTGACCTGGGGTTCAATTGCAGGTCCATTCCAGTCGTTCGCATCGCCGCATTGGAAAAACGGGACGCCTTCCTGCCATCGGGCTCGCAGGAACATGGCACAGTTCAACACCAATGTGCCCAGCTTTTACCGTGTCGAGGCCGGCGGCCCGGCGGCCGACGGCATATAGTACCCTTTGAAAACGAGGATCACGCGCCCTTGGGCGCCCTTTGGGGAGGAGAGGAAACGTGGATCACCCCAGTCAAAACAAACACGTGGAAGAAGAGCAATCCGCGTCATCATCCCCAATCCCCAAGATTCATCCTTCGGTTCCCGGAAACTGACTGAACGAGTCACCATGAAGGGTTTCTACGCTGTCCCCGCTTTGAAGGGTCGCGTCCGGTTCCCGGGTCCAGAGATGTCCTGACATGTCCAGAGTAGAGCCAAACACTTGCACCTTACTTCATCCCTAGGGATCCAAGTACCTTGTCAGAAGCCGGACCCTCCAAACCTACATAATGGTGTCTCCAATCACCTTCTGAGAAGGTACGACTGGATCCCTAGGGCATTTGGCATTTAGGATCAATGATGAGGTTGACGGGCTGATTGGTTGGTGGGTCTTGCCTGGTTGCGATGCGCTCTCCTCTCCGTTTGGGCCAGTGGAGAGTTGTGCCGTGTTGCCGTGCTATGGATTGAAAACAATCCTTCACCGCAACTCGTGGACTATCCGTATTGTTTTACATCTCAGGCGGTGTTAGGATTACGACAAGTCATTACAAGTCAAACTGCAGACGGCGGTCCGTCAACACGGCCTGTCATAGTTCTGCCCCTATTCCGCAGGAACGCGATGTGGTCATGCCAGCAGAGGCGAGATTGCAGGCCAGCGAACCCAAGCGGTTTGGGTTCGCTTCGAGAAACACTCTCCCCGCATCGAGCTGGAGTGATACATGGTGATACCATGTGATACCCTCATTATGGAAGGTGGCCAGGACCCCTTTGTAGGGGAACATGGTCTTTGAGGTGAGTTCACTTCCATCATATATATTTATATATATATACATGTGTTTTCCTTGAGCGTGTATCCAAGCACAGACACCCCTTGACTTGTTGGGACAACCTGATGAAGAACAGAATTCTTTAAGCAGGTTCAAGTGTTCAGTACCCAAATGGCAGTTCAGCAGCCTGGGCCCCGGAAGGAGCCGTGGTTCTGGGTGTTTCTAAATCGGTCCTGCCCCCCAGGAGACACGACCTGACACCCACAACAGCTTGCCTATCCCAGACCATCCATGTATGGAATACTTCACATTATAGGGTCGTAAATGGTGTCCAATGTGACACTCCCAGTCGCAAATGGATGCTTAGCTTGGGCCCTTTTCACGATGGCAGCCGTTTGGCGGACATTGGTTCGTTCTGGGTGGGTTCAGGCGGGTGTATGGTTCTTTGGTTACATTGAGCGCCCCCCGAACAAGGACCGCAACGGCTGTGGCTGTGGTCGCTGAGGTTCACACCCGTTTCCACAAAGACCCAGCGAGCTTCGCACCCTGCAGTCATTCCAGCAGCAGAAATCCACCCCCTCCAAGAAGTCCAACGAAGAAGGAATCCACTCCCGATGCAAGAAGCTCTGTGGGAGGAAACCGGTGAAGGACATGAAGACAGGAAGAAACCGGGGTTTTCACGCGTAGAACTGTGGGTGTCCTGTAGGCCTTCCCTTCCAATTCTCCAGCATGACCATCACCCGCCCTTCCGAAGCTTCGTAGTAGGTGGACCTCTTTGATTTTCAAGATGGTTTCAGCGAAACCATCAACGGGGAGAAGCTCATCGGCAGCACCGTGATCGACCTTGAGGCAGGGGCGGGGTGGTGCTAAAAGAGGCACCTTTTGGTGAGCCAAAGGTGCATGGCGGGGTGTTGGAGTGCTCCTCCAACTCCATGCCGAAATAAGGTGTGTTCAATGGGCATTTGGATCGGTAGAGGGTTACGAGGGGGCCCTACAACGCAGGCTGGCTGGTATGATTGTTGAGAGGCCTCCCGGCCACTTCCATGTGCTGTGCGTGGACAGATCAATCTTTCATGCCAATTCGAAGTCTTCTTTTTTGGGGAGGCCGAGCCATTTGCATGTTTATTTACTAGTGGGCACCGTTTGCATCAGTCTCTCAGAAGTGGATATCGGCAATATCGGATAGAAATATGTTACCTCCCATATTCTGCAAGTGTTTATGCAACTCTTGAACCATTGGAGATTCTCCAGCTCTAGATCTGCAACTCTGCAACTGCAACCCCAAAAAGAACGGATCCCGCCTGCCCTCGTCTCGGCCAGCACCAGCAGGCTATGGACCCGTCCCGTCTTGACGTTGGGAGGTTCCTGCCCCCCTACCCCCCCTCCTCCCGCCCACGAGCCCGAAGAGAAGAAAGACCGGTGGTGGTGGTTCCGGCCATGGAACTCGTCATACCAACCCAGTGGTCGTTCGGACCTCTGCCAGGACGTGTGAACGTCACCTACCCCAACGGCCCCACGGCCCACATGCCCACATGCCCGGCAGGACCGGTGGCATAGCTCCGCTTGGCGCGACGCTATGGACCGAAAGCAGCAGATTCCCACGGAGGAGCGATGGATGGATGGATGGATAGAAAAGGCCTTTGACCCTGGTTGGCAGCTGGTGCTGGGTCCGTTGTGGTTCCAACATATTGTAATCTAAAGCTCATCAGGTGGAGTTGGATCCACATGATATATCATCTAGATGCTCACAGGAATCAACCAATCCCAAAGGGGGGGTGGGGGGCTTACTAATCAAGAGTCTACATGACCTCCACGCGGCCATGGACCTATGAGACGGTTACAAGCTTGTTGGATCTCGGTCTTACCCTCCCCACTCCACAGCCGGACCCTTTCAGGTAATACGTTCGCCATAAAAACACCAATACAAGAAGGGCCGACCTGGTGTTGTAGTCTAGAATCCTTGGTTATATACTCTTCAATGAGTGTGCATCGGTTGTTTTCAGCATGGGTTCTTAGGTTTCATAATTGGTGTGTTTTCCTGAAAACTCTTATATAACAGATCCTAAGAACCCATGCTGGTGTAGACTCCTGTTTGGTCTTTGGTCTCTCTTTTCCGGCAGGACCGACCGTTGATCAATCCTCAACTCTCGGGACAGAACTGTGGAAGCTCCTGAGATGCATGGGGAAGGGGCTGGAAGGGGGGCAGGGCTGTCATGCATCATCAACCTACATCAACCTCTTGAGATGGACAGTCTTTCGCACCTCTGTCTACAACAATGGTCTTCCCCACATCAACCTCTTCTGGTTGGCCAAAAAGCTCTCTCTTGCACACACACCTTTGACGGCGTCCGGGGAGGCTCTCTGAACTGGTGTGTGCGTGTGTTTTCTTGGTGGGGGGGCCGTTGACCAAATATCTTACTGACTGATGCACAAGCCTTGTGAACACAATGGAAGCAGCTAGCCAGCTAGCCATCATAAGATGAGCCAAAGCCACAAGACCAGTATCTTCAACAGACGTGGAAGTGGACAAAACAGACGTGCAAGTGGACAACCCCCCTGTTTTGTAGAGGAACATGACCGTGCCAGCAGCCATGCCATCCACTTGAATGACTTCGATGGGGAGTATACCCCAGTATTCACTACTAGGATCTTACAATCAGGTGATTTGCTATTTTCTCAATTTGGGTAAATCCCCAAACCTGTGGATTTTGGTTCAAGGTTCCTGGACAGCAAATGCAAGTCTTAGATGTGTTCGAAGCATGTCCCATGCACGTCCTTGGGACTGTAGTTACTGATTGCTGGAGTATATACTTGCAGTATGAACCTTTGACCTGTTGCCCTGTTGGTTGCTTTTGGCACCCAATTCACCCCACTGCCGTTCGTTCCAGGCATCGAGATGTGGGTCGAGATGATCGATAGCGTGAGAGCCTCTGACATCAAGGCGAAGCCGGGCGGGTCCGGAGATGACAGCTGATGGGGCGAACCCGCAACCACTCCTTTTCGAACGAAGCTGACCTGGGAAGCCCCACATCGACGACACCTAAAGTGTCCAAGAACCTGCACCGGCATGGTGGTTGGTCGTATCCAACTGGAGTATCACCCTAAGAAACCAACAGAGGTTAAGTGACCTTATAGGACACTACAGGGGTACCTATGGGATAGCCTATAGGGTCTTTCCACCTTTGTTGGAATCTATGAAACATGCCAGTCCCATGGCTCGTGTTGGGGCGATTCCTGCCGCACTTCGACGCGGCAAACCGCGTTGCGGTTCTGCAGTTCGGTAGGCGTCCAGGAGCGAGACAGCGCTTTTCAGCCTGAAACTCATGGGCCACACCTAGATCTTCAGGCAATCAATCTCTGCCTCACGTTTCTGTCGAAGTCCTAGGTTTGGGGTCCAAGTCTTTTTGTGAGGTACTTTGACTCCATTTCACCCATCATAGGGTTCTCGCAAAACAAAGCCTTCTGAAAAGGTATGGACTCTTCCACTCCAAATCTCCCAGAGCGGAAGCACTCTGAACTTGGGGGGCATTGGTAACAATAAACCCTGAAACACCTTTCCCATACACTCCATGGGACTGCCATAGGACTGCCGCCCCAAACAGACCCCCCCTGGCACCACCACCCCTGGCCGTGTCGCCTGATCGGCAGTTGTATGGCAGTCCCATGAGTCGTGTCTGGGTTTAGTGACTTGGTCGCCTGGATTCTTAGAGGAGGCTACCTCCAGCTTATGAGGAGATCGGAACTCCCATCGTGACCTGAACCATCCGTGGCGTGGCCCGCCGAGGCGGGCGATGAGACTCGATCCCACAAACCGTTCACGAACCCATGGAAGTATCCCATATTCCAGACACTCCATGTCTGTCATGTAATGCCTACATGGATCCATATGAATCTTCACACCTCCACCCGGTCCACAACCCTCCCAGCCGGTCCTTGACGAAGAAAAACGTGAGGCCTCGGAGCTCCGCAAGCCACCAGCGATGGAGATCGAAGTGCGACTGGTGATCCGGACCTGCAAGAATGTGGCCTGGGCGGCACTTTTGATGTTTTTCCTTCAGGTACTGTGATGGGGTGTGCCGGTTTCTGGTTTTTCTTTTGCTGGTGTTTGTTCATTACTGTAAAACTGAAAGATCTCACTCACAATCGTTTCTGTTTTTTCTCTCTGCCTTTGGTGCGATGCAAAAAGGCAAAGATCAGGAATGCGTAATTTCGGTGTTGACCCTGTGCTGGACCCATAGCTTTGCTTAAGGAACACCCAAAACAAAGCAGGACCCGGGGGAGATGGAAAAAAGAACACTCCCAACGGGTTCGGGGCCAAAGAACCCCGTGCAGAGTGTGTGTGTGTGTGTTGTGCCATCTCACCTGGTGAGACCGGCTGTCTTCTCGGATCCCTCCGGTCATCGCAGTGAGAACGAGACCCATGCGGACCACTCTATGGAACAGAATGCCAGTGCCATAGGGCGTGTGTACGGCCTAGGGCACAGTGAAGCGTTGGTGATCCAGAGTGATCACGGACTGTGTTCCAACTTCCGAATGATCTCGTGTTGCTTGGTGCACCCATTGCGGCAGGTGAAGCCCATGAACGGCGACAAGACAGATGTGAAGGTCACTGTGGATCTGGAATGCATCTGGGCTTGTTCCCTTGCGAGCTGCTGGGGTAGTTTGCCGGTGGATCTTGTTCATTCATGCTCAGGGTTTGACAGTCCCAACCCTCGCTTTGCTTAAGGGGGATCTTTATTTCCCCCTGTGAGTGAATACCCTTGTCGGGACGGAAGTTACTGTAGTTGATGTGTTTTTTCCCCGGTTCCTTTCAGCGAATCCGAGCAACTTCCTTTTCGTTTTGCTCCTGCTCACACTCGCTCGTTCCCGGCCAGGTAAAGAGTACGAGGGCGTTTCGATGGGTTTTCCCAAGCTGCAAGCCACGGACGTGCACTACGGCGCGCCGGGCAATGCCGCCCGCCAAAGGTCAGGAGTTGGATCATGTATCATACCAGGACCCTCCAAGGGGTGCCCAATGGATGCCTATAGGTAGTGTGGGGTAGTCCATTGGACACCACTTGGAGGGTCCAGGTACCGGACATTTGCTTGTTCTACCTTTAGGCACTTAAGGTGCTTAGTGGACACCTATATGAAATACTTCATCGGGGTGCGAAACTAGGTTTCAGTGAGTTTGATTGAATAGTCCAATCGCCTGTTTATTGATCAGCCGGTTTGGAATTAGAGACTACTCATACCATACCTTTTTTTAACATTAAATGTGTTTTTTATTGGTCTAACGCGTGCACCCTGTGAAGATGTTTCCTGCTGGGCTTCCAGTTTTGCACCACTTTTCAGTATTGCATTAGTAGCAGTCCTGATTTCCACAGTGCAGTTCCGCCATGATTTGTCCCTGAACACATGACCCCATCGTTTGTTCTTCAAGCGAGGCTCAACAGAAAGAGCAACTGCAGGATTCATTTGACAAAGTTCTAGGTTCCCTGGTGGCCCAGAACACAAGGAATTCCGGTTTCGCGGCAAGTGTCCCAGCCGCCTTGGCCAAGGCCATTTTCAATTGGCGTGTCGTGTATCCGCGCATTGTCATGCCGACCAAGAGCTGCACTATGGACCTGATGCCTGGCATATTTCATTGGCTTTCATTGGTAGGACGTCCTGAATAAACAAAGGATTCCCATCAATTTCTGGCATTGATCCTTGGTTTATTAACTCATGGTGAGCTGTGCTTTACAAATTACACATGTGGGGTATTCATAGGGGATATCGAAATGGTGTCTAGAGTCTATAGTGTATCTTTGACATTCCTTTTCGTTTCTTCCAGCCAACCCCTGTGAAAGAAACCAACACAAATCCACAAATCGGTGGCGAGTCTCAAGGGCGAAAAGAAGCCTGACCGGAATTGGACGAATGATTTATAGGGCCGGGCTGCGTGAAGAGTGGTATTTACGTTGGATTTGTGGGGGCAAAGGGGATTGCACTCCCTGGAATCATCATGCATGGCAATACCTCTCTTTGGTGTTTGGGGCTTCATGGTCAACCGTCATCCGAAATCGGGGCCGTTTGCCATCCCCGTAACCAGGATCATTCCAGGGAGTGTATGCACCTTGAATATCATTGAACTGCAGTAATGACACAGCCGATGAATGTAGACTCTTCATGGATAAACGCCCCAGTTGAGTTTTTCAAAATCCACTTCATAAGTTGTTGTTTTTCATTTCTTTAAATCAAGAGTCTACATTGCAGCATCAGCTGTTGTTTTTGTTCCCAATATGGGGATACATACGGTTGATGAGCCAAAGGCATCACCCTGAAAAGGTGAGACCAGACGCCTTGGAAGCCGCCAGTGATATACCCTGTTCCCATATTGGTGATGGAAGACATCCAGATTGCAGAGGCGAGCGGAGTGAACTTGAACCAGGCAAAATTTGTGTTTGTTTGTTTTCCTTGTTTACTTCCGTGAAGCTTGAAGCTTGTGGAATGAACACTTGGGACATGTCCGTAGCCGCACCTTGGCTACGCCGCTGACACTCAGGAAGCTGTACCAAGCCAACAGCAGCTTGGCATGATTGCTATGACTTGGGGCGGAGGGTCGTTGTCTTTTATAAGGTTGCCTGGGTCAAGATGATAGCAAAAGACTTAGGGTAGTGCACGCATATGTTTGAAAGCAATTCAGATGGGGGTCACCTTACCATTCCGGATCACAGATGTGCTGCATCTCCCAATTCAATGATGGCTTATAAAATGTTGATAGAGAAGACACAGATAATTTGTTAAACTTTCCATGTTCAGATCATATGCATGAAGGGTTTGACTGGTGGCTTGATGGGTAGTGATTTCAATCCCACTCCAGCAGAGTCTCACCTGCCTCATGTGGGTCCCCTGGATGACTCCACCAATCTGAATCATCCAAGTGGAGAGCACCCGGCGGAACCGGACTATTGAAGCGACGGGATTCTATTGCTCTCAACCATAACTTGGGTGAAAATGGATGTCCAATCCTTTGTGGATCGCACGATCGATGCGGGGTCAGATGGTTGCCCTAGACTGCTCACTGGTGCCTTTTTTTGTTGATTCGATTGTCATGTAGAAAGCTGCAGATTGACCGTTTGGCCATGCAGCTGGTTGCTGGGGACAGTCCGCTCCCAAATAGGATTGAGGCACGTCTCCGGAATTTTTGAGGTTGGACGAGCCCCCCCTTAGCTTAAATTTGCGGCACGTTTTCGTTAATTAAGTGCAAAGAAAGAATGGAAGAAGAGAGAAAGAAAGCAAGAAACAAAGAACGCATGAACGAAAGAACAAGACAAATGAATACAAATGAAAAAATCAACATACAGAAATACAAAAAAAAAGCACACTTCAAAGAATGAACAAAAAGAATACGTGTGCTGCTTACTGCTTACCCCAAAGCATTCCCAGAGCCCCGCCCCAGGCATCTCCTCGGATGAGTTCATCGGCGCCGTCAGCATCGACCTGCGACGCTACGTGGAGCGTGTGGCCCGCGACATGGAGCCCTGGCCTCGCGCGTGGCCCGTCGTCGCGCGTAGTCGCACGGTGAGTCACGGGCGACTTGCGACTGACCAGAGTGGAAGAGAAGGGTTTTCTCTACAAGCCGGTGTCTTTTTTGCAGGTTCCGTGTGAATTTTCCAGGGTGTCGTCACAGTGTAGTCTTAGATTGTTGTGCTTACCCTATCGGCTCCTGGCGGCCATCCTGGAGAGAAAACAGTGAACATTGTGGCCAGAAGTTTGAAACTTCTTTGAAGTGCTTGCCCACGCCCGTGGCAGTGCCGCGTTGAGAACCTTTTTGACTTTGGCTAGCTCTCTGTGAGAAATCTCGCGAGCTTCGTGAAACACACGCACAAACAAATTCAACTTCTCCAACTGGGTCAGCATCATCGTGGAGCGGCGTGACCCATAAAATCCGGCTGCATAGTCGTCTCCTCATCGTATCGCGCCAAAGCTTCATACATGGTGCTGATCGCTGCTGCATCTTCATCGGACATCTGCAACCGAGGGCGAGCCGAAGTTTTCACACTCAAGACTTGGGCCAAAGCCAAGGCTTCATTGAGTTTGGAGGGGTATTCTTTGGCCTTGGCAGTGCGCCAAGCTCCGGAGGAATCACGCCCTTGTAAGATCTCTAGCTCTTGCCAACGTATCGGCTGCTGCAGTGCTCGGATATGATGACGAAACAGCGGCATATGTGATACCAGCAGATGAGTTGGCTTAGCTGCCACTGCGCCAAAAGCTGCTTGCCAGATGAGCTCGAGGCGCACCTGGTCGTGCTGCACGAGCCCCTGCAGCCAAGGCAGCGTCCAAATACTGCATCTGTCAGACTTTCGTGGCTGCCGGGGGTGCTCCATGACTCCCGGCAAGCCGCACATGACGGCCCACAAAAATAATCGAACTGCCACAAACAACAAAAAGTTAGACACCTGAAGCTGCTCCAGTTCTTTATGCGTCAGTCCTGCTATGGCAAAGGGTGCTGCACGGGTACGCAGAGGTCTGGGGCCCCCAGTCTGATTCCTGGCCTCTGACCAGGTTTCGCACGGTGGAGCCACAAGTAGCGTGGCCACGGCCCCAGCATGAATCCAGTGCAATAGTGTCTCTACCAAAGCTGAATCATAAACATTGTGGCTAGCCGAAAGTGCCAAGTCTATCATGAGTACCCGGCCAGATACTCCACGGACGCGCAGCAAACGTTCAACATGGCTTTGGTAATCCCCCTCCCGCCTCCTGCCTGAAAACACATAAAGAAAAATTGCCAACTCAGACAACGGGCGAGGAACTGTGGTAGGCCAACTCCAAGTGCCAGCGGACTCTTCCTGCACCAGCAAACCCATTTGGAATGAAACATCAGTCTCTTGCCACAATGCGTCGACGGCCATGCGCCGTCTACCGTGCAAGGTAGCAGTGGTGTTTTCTTGAGTCAACATGGTGGGTCGCAGCGACGTCAGCTGCGGACGCACGGTGTCAAAGGAAATTTTCCAACATCGGAAAGGTCCATCTAACAATGAAGAGGACTGCCACAAAACCACGGCCTCATGAAACATGGCTCGAGCTTCAACTTGGTCTATTGGCGGGACACGCTCATGGTGGAACAGTTCTGTGCTCAAGGCTTGGACGAGAGCTCCATGAAAAGGGCGCTGCATCAAACATTCAAGCAATTTAGCATGGTTAAGCTCGTCTAGGCAAGCGGACAGTTGTTCAACCCAAGGCGAAAGATGCGCAAGGATTTCAACATCGATTGGTCGCTTGTCATGCGTGGCCTGATGCCAAGCCAAATCCCACGGCCATGGGCGCAGTGGACCCTGAGCCGAACACACTGGGAATCGGTGATGCGTGCGACGCATCTTGCTCCTAGCTGTGCGCAACTGTTGCGAATGGTCATCAAGTACTGCGGTCAACTCCTCATCATTTAAGGGGGCTACGCTGAGCAAGAGTTTCAACAGGCAGCCAGTGCGGTAGTACTTTAAATGGTGCACAACTGATGCGCGATCATTATACATACGAAGACACGCTCGGCAGTGATTGGAGGCTGTGTACCTCTGAGCCAAGTTGACCGACCTATGCTGCTGGAACATATGAGAACACATGGCACGAAAAGTATCGAATGTGCGCTCGCAATCCTGGCAGACAAACAGACCGGGCATATGGCTAGGCAATGAGCCTGGGGCAAAACGTCCACCTAATGCCTCAACGTCTTGGCGAAAGTGCCGCTGAAATGATCGCAGATCTTGCGTTGAGAACCTTTGTTCGTTAATTTTCTCCAGCTACCAATGCTACCGCCGACGAAGCAGGGTGAAGCTAACCAGGGCAAAATGGCCCCCGGTTCGTAGAGCACTTTGTTGGAGCTGCCGGTGCCCCATTTGCGACTCATGAGGCGATATACAGCTATACGGTATGGTTGGTGCTTGTGTAGGAATGTGTTGTTTTTGTTCATCCTGTGTTGCTTCTTCTTGGTTCAATGCTTGGCTTGTTTGGGGTGACTGGATTCTGAAACCTTCTTGGCAGACAAGGGGCTTGGTGCTCACAACAGGCACGGCTGGTCATCAACTCTTAGATGAGACGTACCGTCATCGGTTTCCGAGTTCGGCGAATTCGCCGCCCTGAAACTCGCCGTCCGAATGGCTCGTGATTTGCAGAAATCTCAGACATTGAATGCATGACATCTTTACCTATACCTTCAGGGGGTGGTTCAAAAAGATTCCAGTTCGTCCGTGGAGCGGAACTCCGCCACCCATAACTTCGCGTCGTTCCGGGTTCCCTCCGGTCCGAACGCCTGCGACGCGTCCAGGACATGATTTTCATCGAGAAGGCCGATTTGCAGTTCTCCGCCAACAGCGGCGGCGAGGAGCTTTCGCCCGAGGAGCCGCCAGCGGAGGAGGAGCCGGTGGGCTCCGTCCAGCTGCTCGATCGGGAAGGAGCTGAGGCCGAGGCCTGTGGCCTGGTAGACCAGATCAGACCATGGCACTGGAGCCGGATGGGACATGTTCATAGGGCAAGACCTGATAGTGAGTGATAGAATCTAGAACATGCACGTAACTCTTCCAGTCCGATGGATGTGCTTGGGTAGACCAGTGGACCCGAAGCCCACTAGAAGGAATAGAAGGATTTTTTTCAGTCCAGATCCAATGGTGGTGCAATTGACTAGTTGTTACTTTCCACTCAAACTGAGGGAGTCAAGTGACAGTGAGGAGGGTTGGGTGGGGCTGGTCCATTGGGTTTTTGATGGTGTTTGGATTTGAGTCAGTGGATCCACTGGCAAGACTAAACTGAACCAGCTTGTTCCAGACAGTATGATTCCACTCTTTGCAGTGGAAAAACCAGCTGGGAGGTTGAGAGTTGGTTGAGAGGAGTGCACGAAACTCGTGCCACGAATGGAGGGAACATCCTCTTCGTCGTGTGTTTTGCTTATTGCTCGGCCCACCGACTGCAAGTAAGACCAGGTTTATATACCCACATTTGGGTGATGTCGGAGGTCAATGTAAGTGAAATGCCCGTTACATTGAGTTTTTGAGTGCAAAAGGTGCTACTCTAGTTTAGAGTTGGTATGACGAACCCGTGATTTCAACGAGCGCCCGCGCCCGCGCGTGCGCTCCCAATGTCCATAGACACGTGGACCGTTTGGACAAGGTTGATATAGCGCATTCTATGTGCATAGTGTACGGCTCCAACAGGAAAGCTCCTGGGAATTTCTGCCTACTGGCTGGCGGCTGGAGGGGAAGATATGGCAATTATCAGTTGACTAGATAAGATAAGATTGTGGCTGACTGATGAGGCCCAGAATGTCCATTTCATATCGAGTTTTTCTGCCAAGTAGGGCCCATAAGCATCCATGACATGAACGGTATTTGGTTTGGGCATTGACTACAAGCATCAGGATATCAGAGAACATGTCAACCGTCTACCAAAACACTCCCCGAAACAGTCACGGTCACGTGGATGGCATGGCCAGCACCAAACAGGGTGGCGCCCTCCACTTCCATGATGAATTCAGGGACTCTAAGATTCTCCTTCCCAGTCCCCATCACCCAATACAGTAATGCATTCTCCCCATCTACCGCTCCACTCCGCGTGCGCCGGGAACGTGTGCGTCGCCTCGCGTCGCGCAATGTTTTCGCGAGGTTCGAGATGTGGTTCATGACCCAAAGCGAGGCCAATCAGAAGCGCGCCGGCAAAGGCCGTGAGGAGCCGCGACCAAGGGCTCGAAGGCCGTGGACGCGGGCTCCAACAGTAGGCGGATGTTTGTGGGAGCGGTTTCTTAGAACAAGCTGCTTTTGTTCTGGGTGGACGTGATGGGTATTCTGTGACCCTACGGATCCAGTCGTACCTTCTCAGGTACGGTGATGTGTTCGACACTGTCATGTATGTTTGGAGGCTCCAGTCGTACCTTTTGAGGTTCGGTACGACAACGGATCCCAAACGGGTGATGTTCTCTTGGAACCAAACCACAGAACCAAACCAAACCACAGAACCTGGAAACCCCAAAGAAAACCGCTTCGAAACGCTGTAAGTAAGTGCCATAAATAATATACAACTCTTGGATGAATAAACTTTTTCCCCCAAAAAATTGGGGAGGTGCTCTAAGGGGGTTGACATCAAATCAGTGCTTTAAAACCATCCTTATGGGGGGGTTTTGAATGGAGTTGACACATCATCAGGACTCTACATGAGATGGACAGAGAATGACAGAGATGGATCCAACACCTCATGCAACGAGGTCGTTGTTTGGGCGAAGTTTTTGGGATAGGATGAAAAAACTGTGAAGAGATAAGGGTCCCAAATTGGAGGTGGTTGAAGAGCTTCGTTTTTCTTTTCAATATGCAGATGATGAGTGACCTCTATTCTATGTTGGGCCACCAACCATACAAATTATGTTCTTTTTGCCTGTCAAAACAGGAGCCGCATGGGTTCTAGGTACAATATATTTAGTGGTTTAATGCAAAAGCGCAAAGTTGCTTCGAACTTTCCCCAATCAGCATGAAGTTGGGAGGGGGATGCTCCCTAGCCACTAGCTAGGGTTTTTGAGGCTGCAGAACTTTCGCTTGGTGTGACGCATTCACTTTGATGTGTCCTTTCAACTGCTTTCAACTCACAACACTGTCAGCATCGTCCGGACCAAAAAAGCACAGTCGTCCAGGCCTTTCCCTTGCAAAAGGAGTTGGTGGTCAATGTGCTTGAAGACTTTGGCCGAAGCCCATCCAATTGACCCATGTGTTCACCCAATTGGTGAGCTCGGCACCACGGCCACAGGGCCCGGTGCCGACTCCCCACGTGACGTCGCAGTCGTCGGGCACGTCGGGCACGTCGGGCCGACACCAGGACCCCAATGACTTCCCACAGCTGGTGACGCCTGCAGAGGGGCGCGGCTGGGCGGACTTCGCCGCGGGCTTCTCCTTCTCCTTGCCCGACTTTGGTGCCTCGGGAGAAGTCGGGCGCCCCCCGGGGTCGGGAGAGGATTGGAGAGGGAGAGGGAGAGGATCGTCTTTTGTTGTTCGACCATTGTTCCGAAGACCAACTCAGTCTGCGTGGTTTTTGGTGGGTTACAGGTGGTCCTTTGCAGGGGAACAAGGTGCTGGAACAAGGCGGGTCGCCAGAGAGTCACTAGACACTGAAAGGCTTACATAAGAGGCCAGTTGAGACTCAGTTGAGAGGCGCCCCCGCTGCCAGAGGTCCTGGTTGGACGCTTTTTACCACCCTCTTGTCCACCCAAACCCAGACATGAGATGTACCACCATATAACAAATCGTATTGTAACTGTCCCAGACATGACCTGTGTTGGGCTTGGAATATTAGACATATACATTGACTGATACAGGTCAACCACAATATATGCCAGTCCCATGGAGTGTTTGTTGGACTATGAGCTTTTGTTGCTTAGCTTGGGCACTCGTTAGCTCGCTTGTTGCATGCGCACTCGTGCCTGCTCGCAGGGCGGGGTGGGCAAGAGAAGTGCCACTGAACAACCCACAACTTCGTGCAAGACTTGTTCAATAGAGTTTGTTGATACCCAAGACTTGTTGGAAGTCAGCAGGAAGTCAGCAGGTTGGCACTTGTTGGGGTTCTTCAGGAAGCTGTTTTGACCTACCTGATGGTTCATAATGAATATTTGGTTTGGAAGCCGGCCGGAGCAAACACACTGAACCCACATCAACTCGATGGGCCATCAGTGTTTGTGTTTGATTGCAAGACCTAAAGCTAAACATCCATGAATTGTAGCTGTTTTGTGCACTTTTGGGTGCTCATTGGGTGCGAAAAAAAGCCCAGGCCTAATGAAGAAGATCATTCCCATCGTCCTCTTCACGCTGTTGCTTGGACGGGCTGGGGATGGCTGGGGTGAGTCATGGCAACCGGCCGTGTGGCAGGATGTTGGGTAGGTGACATATAGAAGATCCACTACTCCCAGAGCATCCATGGGACTGGAATAGTCATAGTTATGTATACAAGTAAAATATAGAGTACTGTAACTATTTCATACATGCATGCTTTGGGACTTGAAGTTTCTCTCATCCCCATAGCTTTTGGTGCTAAATTCGCTCCCTCAAGACACCTCTTGGCCCTCAGATGAACAACCCAGACAGACCAAGAGGTTTACGAGACTTGCGATGGTCAAACAAAAGCAAACTTGCAGCAAAGGCATTGCTTAGAGAACGGACTTCTTCAACCTGGCAGCTTTTTGGGCTTTTCTTGCAAGATTTTGGAGATGTCTTTCGAGCTATTTTGCTTGATTGTACCAGGGTTGTTGGCAAGATCCATTCATATTGAAATAGCCGCAAGTGGATTTTAAATCACATTCAAGCCAAGGCTGTGCCTGGTCCTCTTACGCTTCATCGGACTCCTTTGAGGGTTTCACCAGCGAAACGAAGCAGTTTCGCGCCCTCGCAAAACGATGCGGGGTGTGGCAGAGCTCCACAGGATCTTCTTCGTGCGCATCTAGAGCTCACGAAGCAGCGAGATGACATGAAAAGCGACGAACTGAAAAGAAATATGGGTTCCTGGCTCCCCAAATCATGTCGAAAGCTTTGAGAAATCCATGTTTCTTGGGAGCCAGGAATCATGGGAGCCTTTCGTCTTGGACTCATGTCGAAAGCTTTGAGAAATGGGAGGCCCCCGCTACCTGGCCCGGGGGTAGCAACTCTTTGACCCGTCTGGGGGGGCAACTCTTGGACCGATGGGTTCGAACCATCACCCGATGCAAAGCCTGGTGGTTTTGCAGTGCTGAACGCATATGAGCACCTTGATTGTTCATGGTGGGGTGCAGGGCATGCCTTGGGATGGACTTAAAACACCCAACACTTTTGTGTGGAGCTGCTGCTTTTAGAGCCTTCCTGGCAGTAGCCTTACCGCGGTGCAAGCGATTGGCCCGTGACCAGCGGCTACTGCCTTGATAGGTACGTTTGAACGTTCTTTTTTTGAAGGAAGGCCCCTACTAGGCCCCTACTACCTACCCAGTCAGTGGATAACCTTTAAGAGAAAAGGGTTTCAGACAGTTAGACTATATAAGCACATTCATCTATATAAGCATTGTTGATGCCAAGGGGGGGTACGGGATGGACTGCCTCCTTGACCCGGGGCTGGTTTTGCCGGTCATGTGATCCATCAGTTTCCATGCTTGCTTTGGGGAGTACTATGTGGGTTTTGCCAGTGGATTCAATCAATGGCACATGGGTACTCACAAGAGATTCTCAAAGCAATTCAGGCAAACAGCGCGAGCGACATGCCGAAGTCAAACTACAAGCCGCTAGGTGATGCTAGGTGTATTTCTTGTCGCCCAGGGAAAGAAAGCTGGAGATTCTACCCAGTCAGTGGATCACCCTTCTACTTTGTTGGGACGAGCGGACGAGGCGAGGCGAGGGCCAGTCATTCATACGTAGCTGTCACTGACGTCCTTACATCTCAAGACCCAAAAGCCCCGAGTCAAGTACCTCATACATAACGTGTCTCCGTCCTCACCTTCTCAGAGGGTATGTTGGGTCTCTACTCTCGCTTCACCAGCTGAAGACTCCATGATTCCTTCATTTCCAGATGGCCTGTTTCTTTTGCTTGGTTGATCCCCCCTTACTTTGTCCCTTTATGAAATGGCATCCTTTGACGATAAATCACCACTGCCGGGTCATCATTTTATACAGTCATGGGCCTAGTTAGGGAAAATCATAGGCCCAGACATGAAGTGAACAATTTTTAGGTGATCTGAATATATGGAATTGACTTGTCACGATATGTTCTGGGTAGAGTCAGCCAAGGTTTGGCAGGGTCAATCTATTTTTATTTATATAAAGATTTTTTCCTTTCACACCCTCACAGGTCAAATTACTGTAATGTATAAACCTGGGATGTGTGAGATTTGGCTATCGCATGCTGCCTCATTTTATAAAACACACCAATTACTTTCTTTTCACCTATTTATGATGAAGCATCATTTGATAATTGTAGAGCGCTGATTGCCCAAACAGGACGCTCATGATCTGATGTCCATGCAATCATTTTATACTATAAAAGCTATTGGTTTTTCATTTGATAGTGGTTTATCCTGTGCAGACCACTTTATAGTCACTTCTTTTTATGACATGACTGAACCACAGGCCCCTTGAGTAAGTAAGGGGGATCTTGGTTGATTCATCGCCTACATTGCCTGGCATCGACCCCTCGATACGGCCCTGTGAACTGGTCACGAGCAGCTAGCAGCCTTTTCACAGGCTCAATGTAGCCAGTCGTTGTGACCCTGCATGATGCAGCGGACCCGGTTCCCGGCGGTAGATGAGCCCTGGAGGAGGTCATCCACCTACCCTCGATTGAAGGTGAACATCAGTGAACATCAGTGAACTCTTGAACGAGTGTTTCTCAAGCGAACGGAGTCTGGACCAACCCAAAGAGGAATCGCATGATCCATGGGAAGGATAGGTCATGACAGGTCATCATGTTAGGAATAGAAGGGGTCACCGACCTAGTCAGGTGGCACCGACCTAGTCAAGCAAGGTTATGCTTTAGCCCTTCTGACATGCTTCATTTAATAGCTACACTGGCTTCCTCAAAAAAGGGTGAAAAAAGAGTTTCCTTCAAGGGAAATTTGGATCACTCAGTGATCATTGAATTGATCCCCCTCCCAGTCAGGCTCAAGGGCCAAGAGACGACTTCTTTGAGGGAATGTAGGTTGGTCTCACTACCAGTATTAACAGTCGGATACAGTCGGTAAACATTACATAGTGCATCCACCGTTACTGGTCATGGGATATCCCCAAAGGCGCTGGGCCGGTTTGTTTTGTGAAGCTCTTTAGTTGGCATGACCGGTCTGACATGGTATGAAGGTGCTCCACATGGTCGGCATCAGTCAATCATGGCCCAGCAAACCACCACAATCCACCCATCTCCTCCTCGTCTCATCGATGAGCACCGGTGCCCACGCGGCAAATCGACCACGCGGCGCCGGATAGGAGGCGGTGTTCAGAAGAGAAAGAGAAACAAAGAGTTCTGCAGGGTCAGGATATCAACCACCTACCCTCCCGCAAACATCCGCAAACTATAACATGGAACCTGAGAATTAATTGACCGGTGGTTTCGACGATTTTCCTTTACAACCCAGTTGTTTTGGGGTTCCGTGTTAATTTGCAAGGGAGTAGTCAGTAATTCTCTTCCGTGAAGTTTGTACATGTTTTGATCTTCCCCATGGTCAATGACATGGGGTCATGTTTCAACATGCCCTGGTCGTTGATTTGGGGATATTTGGGCCATATTGTCCTAAGAGTCAGAGTTCTCTAAAGTGGACGAACTATGTTTGATACGACGCTTTCTATTTGGCCAGTGGGTGCAGAATGGACAGTCTTTGTGTCGCTGTCTAAAGTGTTGTTGCGAGAAGGGAATGGAGGCCACTGCAACATGCACACGCACATTAGCGTGCAAGACACTTACATAGAATTCAGTGGCTGAGAGCAACAGTCTTTCACTGGATTTTGTGATGCAGAACCTCAAAATACTGGGTTCACATGCCCCCACGGGAGTGTGTTGCAAAATCATGCAAAACATGTTTTTCTCCACCCAGCATTGCACCCAGCTGGCCTCGTCCCCCACCGTCACTTCGCGCGTCCGACGGTGGCCTCGCATGGCAGGCCTTGAGCCTGGTCGCCCAGCAGCAAGGGTGGGAACTCGTCCAGCTACTCGGCTTCATCGAGTGAACTAGCATCAGAAGGAATATTTGCTAACATCATCTATATAACATTCTCAAACCAGTTGAACAAATAAACCCGGTAATATGTATTAAGTAAGGAAGGTTTACTATGACATGGGACTTACCTACTCTATGCCTTATGTCACTTGAAGCCTTAACTCCCGTGTGATCTGCACCCAGTATAGACGATGTCTAGGATGTCAAGGGTTTGCAAAGTGCTTGTCCAATTTTTGGTGATTTCTTTCAAGCTCTTCTCTCAGGCCGGCTGAAAGCACACGGCGTGCTCTTCGACAGCTAACGGTTCAAACATAGAGCCAGTCTTACCCAGCGTGTCACGGGGTTGCTCTACAAGAAGTTCCCTTTCCATCCAGTCCTGCCCTGGTCCCCAAACTCGACGCGGCACCAAAGGCGACGCTCCGCAAAAAGGTACACCGTACTTCCAGAGGTCCACCTTTTCCGGTACTTTGAACGGCTGGTATGCAAGGCAACTCATTGGGTTCAAAGCTATGACTAGTTGGTCCGATGGGCTCATGCCACAAGTTGTCAGTTTCCCCCTTAATCTCTTGCACATGCCACACGCGGATTTCTTTATCAATGGTGCGTCCGAACGGATCATAAACAGGAAAGCCTTAACAAGCGTCGCTTCTTTTTCGGGCACGCGATGCTCCGTACGCAGGTGGAGCAAGTAGGCCTCTTTACCTTATTAAGGAATGTCGGAATGTCGGCTGGGCAGAATGGGCAGTTTATGAACAACAAAATGCGGTTGTATACGCATGTATGTGCAACGCTTGCTATCTCTCGCTATCTCCTAAGATCATAATGTTGAAACGCCACTAATTCAAAGCAGTTCAAAGCTTTGAGCCAAAGGAGCGGAGCTCACCAGAATATCCCAAGACAGTTTCTCTAAGGTCAACAAAGCAGTCAGTGATTAGTAAGAGCTGAACATATGTGATTAAAACAAAATGTGATGATAAGATGTGTATCTCAGACCCTTTTGAAAGATCAATTAAGAATCAGAACGAGCATCTCAACATGAGCCCCAAAAGATTCAGCACTGGTGATCGACTCGTGTTCGGGTCGCTCCGGCGACCCGTCGGCAGCTCCGTCGCGCCTCCCAGGAAGGGCGGTGAGATCCGGTGGGTCGTGTTGGGCACCACAGCTGGGCGTCCTGCGGGATGAGAGGAGTCCAGGAACTGCTTCAGAACTGGGATGAAGAAACCCCCCACAACTGTTTACGCTGTTTAGAGGTTGTTCAATTCAAATGGCGTGTGGTTTTTCTGAATTTAAAGGTCTGCATTATGTTCGTTCGCCCCCGGTGCCTTTGAAGTATGAGACCGGACCCAGACCATCCCATAAAAGGAATGGAAGAGTTTACTTGCCACTAAGGTCATACATGCAGCTATTCCAGTTTTATGGGATGGTTTGGGTATGATAGGAAGTTGCTTGCTGGAGTCGAATCACTAGTAGTAGACAGTAGTTAGACCATTTTAAGATCGTCTTGGCCTGTCCAGGTACCTTTTGGCTTTCGGTGCCTTTGAAGAAGCTACCATTTGTTTAAATTGAGGAAAGCCCAACCCAATGGCACATATATAGGTTCAGGCATCCAAGGAGGCCTTGGAAGATATGATATTTGGGTCGCGCCAGCTGACAAATGGCTAAAGTGGGATTCAAATCATCTTCAGGCCGTATGATCTTCCTGGTGCTGCCTGGGTCATGTTTATTTTCCCTATGGGTGAATCTCCTTCTGTGGAAGAGTCTTCCGGGTTCCTTAAGCAAATCCAAGTCATACTCGTAGATGTTTCCGAAGCATGTCCTACGCATGTCCATGGGACTGGAAGAGTGAACTATGTACTTGCTGTCAGTAGGTACATTGGCCCCAAGTCAACCGCCACAAAGTGTGGTAATCCATGCAGGGAATGTTTGGAAGCATCATCGTTCTTGTGGAATTTTGTTGGGCCATCTAGGTCCACCTCACATACAAAAGGGGTTGACTGCTAGTGCAGCATATATAACTTTGCATCGAGTGGTGCTCTCCTGTCAGTGGTGTTGGAAAGGCAACCTCAAAACAACCCTGTCCTAGGCCCTAACTCAGTTTGGGGTGAGCTTGAGTTGGCTGCAACTCCTCCGCGGTGTTTGGCAAGCCAGGCCTATTGACCCCAAAACTATGAAGTTGGTCGATGTATAGCTTGCAGCTTCCTTTGAAGTAGCATCATGTGGCCCTTCATGCAATTGGCAATGTTGAATTTTCCGCCCAGCATCATGTTTGTGTTGCTGACTGCTTTCCCCAGGCGCAAGGAAGACCTCATTGAGAGCCTCCGCAGTATCCAGAGCGGTGGACAGTGGTTATCGCACATCCCGGGCATGCACGAGGTCGGGGAGCACAGGCTGATGCCACCGCCATCCGGTCGGTCGGGGCGCCACTGTCGGATGGGAGACGGTCTGGCGCCCAAGAGATTGGTGTTCGGACGTATCTTGAGATGACAGGACGGCAGGTGTATGACTAACTGATTCTCATCACACTCCCCATATCAGAAAGGTCTTTATACATCTGCTTACCTTTGACATAGCCACGGAGACATCTCCTTACCTTTGACATAGCCACGGAGATCTTGTGAATCACCCGTCTCCAGGACTCCAAGACGCTTTCATCCTTTGTTGTGACTCATTTTGTCCTCATCACCTTTGGCCAGGCCTGTGAGAAGGGCAGCCTTGCACGGGCGCTGGAGGCGAGGGGGGCGAGTTGGGTTAAGTTAGGGCTCAAAGTGTTTCTTTTTTCTCAACCTGAAATTTCTTATGTGGAAGCTAAGAATGAAACAAATAATTAAAGAGTTGAGTTCTTAGACGTTTTATGGTCTCTGAATAGGCACCCAGACCACAACCCCCCAGCGGACAAACCAGCCCAACCCATCCCAACCCAACACGGACAGGACCGTCCTTTGGAGCGGGTGGCTTTGACCTGGTCTTTCTTCGGTCCTCGCCAGGCCAGTCAGGCAGCTTTCTGGCCGCGCTCCTGGAGGCGAGGGTGGTTTTGGGAGAAGGTTTCGCGCGGCAGATGGAAGACCCAACCCCCCCAAAAGAGGGAGACATAGATATAAGCATACACGTAATGCTACGTACAGTCATGTATGTCATTAAAACGATATGTCACACATGGATTTAAGATGATTTAAATGCGTTCAAAGGACCATTTGTCCTCCCCAAGTGTTAGATACTGTAAAATGTCTTGAACACTTCACAAGAACGGGATGCCTCCCATATCGACACTAGCCTGGATGGATTGGAACATCGACCAGCCGTTTTGGATTGGGCCATAAAGCGCTGAGGCCATCTGTTGGAATAAAAGAAACAGTTCCATGGGTGATTCCGGATCGGTCGGTTGACGGTATCAAATGGACCCCTAGACATGAATCTTTCAAAGGAGATCAAAATCCATGACTGCTGTCTCCTACAGACCTGTCTGGGACCTGGCTGTGCGCCAGACAAGGCCTGGGTGGTTGACCTGGACTTGCATGGAGCAGCATAGATCATCATATTATCCAATCCCCGCAAAGTGTTTGGGATTGAAACTTCCAAGTACAAACCCAGACACGGACTGGGAAAGGTGGCCAAGGGGTGATAACTTATGGCTGGTTGTAACTGATGGGTTTAGGTAGCGTCCCACTGCTGGCCGACCATGGCCGTCGAGACTGTGACCTGGAGACTGTGACTCGGCCGCGTCGCGCTAGAACTTAGGGGTCATATTCCATGGGAGGATTGGGCTTAGCACCATTTTCACGAGGACTGGAGGATCCAATGATGAATCCAGCTGGAAGGAGTAGGTCGGACCGGACACGAGCCAACAGATGTGGATGGCACCCCTGATTTGCTAGGGCAAAGTAGGCTTCCAAGAGGCCAGGATGTCCACTTACATGTTGCCTATGCGCGTAAGTGGTCAGCAAGTGGTGGCTTTTCTGCTTAGTCTAGCTCTAGAAAGGTTTGGGAGGTGGTGTTTGTGCTGCTGGGAGTGAGCAAAGAAATTAGGATACCAAGGCATCCCCACGTTTCACGGTCTAGTAGGGGTTTCTTTGAGCTCCTTCAACAGGGGGGAGACTTGGATTGAACCACCCTGTGCCCGATCCCAAACCGTCCATAAGACTGGAATCTATGCTGCCCCATTGACGCCAACCAGGCCAGCTGATCGGTCAACAGGTTAACTATGTTTCAATGGGTCATACATGGAGTGTTTGGTTTAACAGGTCATATACCATCCATGGCCTTGATCTCATGAGCTCAGGTCAAGCACCCAATGAATGAAGGTCAATAGGCCGGTCACATCGATGGTTGATAGGCACGTCCCATGGTCACCTCGCGCCAGGATCACCCAGCCTGAGGAGCTTCAGGCGTTGCTTTCGCCCCACAGAGTCCAACATGACCGGTACATTTGAAGTTGAGCAGGGTCAAAGCACACCTTGTCTCCATGTGGAACTACCGACAATTACTTCATGTATGACCGAAATGTAACTATTCCATCCAGTCCCATGGATGGTTTGGGATAGTACACCAGTTGCATAAGTTCCCCGCAGGACCTTGAAACGCCATGCCGTGCAGATCTCCACTCCGCACATGCCATCATCCTTTGGGTCGAGCGTGTTCACTGCAACAATTGGTCAGAAATCTGGTCACCCGGCTTGCTCAAGCTGCTTGTTAGGCCACAAATGGCCATAGGCGGTCATAGGCGGCCATAGGTCCTTTGAGGTGAATTGCATCAATCACCACCCTCCAATAAGCTGATGTTCGCCCAAATTACACTCTTACTCGCTAACACGGAAGTGGAACATGATCCCTTGGAATTGGAAGACTACTTTCCTTCACAAAACAAGGGGTGAACTCCACTTCCATGTGATGTGTTTGGAGCGTCGTGTCGTGGTTTTCGCTGGATGGGCTCAATCAATCCTTTCGCTGCTCGATCGGTGAAGCTTCGACACCCCACCGGGTGTGCTTCGATCGTCGCCTGATGGGAGCAGACCGTCGCGCAGGCTGCGCTGGAGTTTTGCCAGAGTCATGTGGTCATCGTGAAGCCCAACAGAGGCGAGATGTACCACGTGTTCAACCGTGGTGGAGGGGGAGGTCCGCGAAAAGGGTGAGCTGGGTGCGATGTCGCACCAACACCTGGAAGACCCCACGAAATCGAAACACCCAAACTGTCCACCTCGGGGGATGGTGAGCTTTTCAGGTGTTTGACAGGCACTCCCGGCGGCTCTGGGCCACCACCGGTACGCAGGAAGTGACCCGAAACCCTCTGACACCACCCGTCCTGGTCCGGACCCGGACCGGGTGCCAGGCCTGCAAGGTCGAGGGATCCACTTGGCTCGGGGGCCCGAGACTTTCGGTCGAGGTGCAGGTTGGTCCTCCACAAAGAGAGGGACTATACGGCAAACTGGTGGTGAACTCCGCTTCATTGGATTTGCAATTCCCCTCCATTTCTTCTATGAAATGAGGGGGGGGCCAAGGCATGATAAGGCATGTATAACATGATTTATGACCCTGAGGGTGGGGGGGTTGGCTCCTTGATTTCTTTGAGACAATTGTGGTTTCATTCATTGCATTGCATTCAGTTTTTGTGCTTTCAAAGCACTGTGGTTTGATGTGGTCTCTATTTCATGTGCTCACCAAGAGGTCAAAACGATGCATTTTATAGCGGCCACCTGGGCCACCTATAAATTGCCTAACAGATCCCGGGAACTGAAGAGAACAGCGGCTCAACAGCTGCGGCTAGATCACATGATTATCAGGCGTGAAAAAAGAACCAGCGCGGGTGGTCATCTCCGCATGTTATGTCATATAAAATCATATAACATCAATGACAGGACCCCCCCTAGGCCATATGGAATCGACACGGGGATGATGGACGCATATGGACACCATGAGATACCATGACCAAACGGTGCATGACCCTGATTTCATCAAGGGTCCCAAACAGGTGGTGCTTTCCACGAACCCATGATGAGTTCAGGGAGAGTAAGACTGCTTGGCTACTTGCTATCACTTGCTTCATTTGGTTGATTGTTGAGGATGGGGGCAATCCATCGGTGGATTGTGAACGCATGAATTTGTGGATTGAAAAGCGTTCGTACTGATGTGAGTTCACAGTACGAAACATGATTTGTGCTTGATATGTGAGTTCAGTACGTTAGTAGATATTGATTTGTGATTTGATTCTGAAACCGTCGGGCGTGTTTGCTCAGATGCTTTCAGTTGACCTCTATGAGGGGGGTCAGTGCACCTCATTGTGGGACTGTGATTCCATTGTGGGTGGGACTGTGATTTTTTGTTTTTGCCAGGCTGTCCCACATCGGTATGAAGCCCGTGCTGAAAGAACGTTTATTAGGTAGCGTTGGGCCTCAACAAGGTGACACCCCCTTGGATGGTTCTGACATAAGCTTTCGGCAACACCACACATATTGGGCATTCACATGAGCCTTCCTTGAGTAGCCCAAAAGTAATGCTCATCTCAGCCACTGGCCCGAGTCCTGAGCAGCAAGGAAGCTGCAACTGTTCCAAGACTTCTTCATGCATCCCTTCGGGGTGAACTGGCCAGGTGACGTTGGTCAAACCTGGCCCAACGCCTTTGATCGGCGGATTGGAGTGAGAACTGTGCAAGCTTCGAGAACTAGTACGAAGCGCAAGTCATTTGGTGTGATTTTACTTATCCCGGACCAGGTGCCATCCAATGTATGGAATAGTTAGTTAATGTTAGTTATATTGGGGTCATGCATGGGTGAATTTATGCAACCATTCCATACATGGATGGTTTGGGAGTGTTCCCCACCTCTCTCACAAGTGGGATGCCTCAAGGCTAGGACCTTGCTTTCCGCAAAATTCCTTGAACACTTGAAATTACATCGGAAGTTCCAGCAGGATACCTAGACACTCCATTGGACATACAATTTCTGGGGTCAATGTAAGTACGTACTCCATTCGCAGCCAGGGTTGTCATATGTGAAATCATAGAAATCGCTTGATTTCCTGACACCTGTGGCCGAGAAGAATCCCCCCAGCTCCTCAGGAGAGGCCATGTCTCTCCACTGGTCTTTGTCGTGCTGGGCGTGGTCGGCCGCAAGATTGGGCAGACGAGAATGCAAGCTGGAGATGAGAGGTGAGGTGAGATACACTTCCGATCCTTCCATGCGTGGTGTAAAAACTCACGATTGGGGCGAGTGGGATATGAAAAGAAAGGCGTATAAGAAAGGTTAAGGAGGTGAAGCCTCCAGTTTGTGTTTGTATTCGATCTTGCGGCTGTTTGTGGCTTATGTAATCTTTCCATATTTTTCCTACCCGACAGGATTTGGGTAGCCAGATTCTTGACCAATTGTCAACGTCCATCTCTACCGAATGCTGCTGGGGTAGTTCTTACCAAGTCAGCAGCTCTGTGATCCTTATCATTCCTGCAGCTTGGACCGGGTACTGTTGATCCGCCGTTCGTTCGCGCCCACCAAATCTCCCAGACCAGCCATGCCAATGATCATAAATCCATCCGCTTTACTCTTTGGAACGTCATTTCAATGTCATCCTCACACTATTGCTTGGCCTTCCGTGCTGGATTGTGTGTGTCTCCGATCCGCAGAGACTTGGCACTCTGCGCCGCTTCCTTGCTCGAACCTTGCCCTTCCTCGTGGATCGTTGGGGTGGATGTTCGAACAGGGGGACTCCCCACATCTCCCCAACCGTTGGGTTTTTGTTTGGTTTCCTTTCTCCACGGGGTCGGGATGCCGGGAGGTCTGGCACCATCTCAATGCTGCCGCAGTGTTCCCTCCGCCGGAGGATCGTGTGTGTCACCTTTGTTGAGCTGCCCGTTGTGCAAACACATTTTACTGTAAAGATTTTTAAAGACATATCGAACACATATATTGGAGTGACAAAATGCAAAAGAACGAGCTGGTTGAGTGGGGATGGCTGTATGGTCGAGTGTGTTTGTTCCTCTGATGTGTTACAGGCATTCCATGCCGGCACTTAATCCCTTACACCGATTCAAGACACGGCCCAACCCCCATTTTAGCCAATATAAGATCTCGCTTTGTTATTGTTGTTTTAATATAGGGGGTCCCTGCAAACTCGTATCAAGAATTGACAAAAAGCTCACGATCGAAGGGTTACCTTATAAAAATAGCCTGATTCTATATTCTTTCATGAACTTCCATCTTCGCTTATCAACTAAAGATTTCCGATAGGTGATGCCACCGTGCCATGTGGTGCCAGGCCTCAACGATCTTAATCAATTGAACACGCCCCGGAATGACCGGAAAGGTGCAGTTTAGTAGTAGAAAGTAGCGGAGACAATTTAGACACAAAGGGGAAACTGTTTTTTTAAGTAGGGTAGTGTTTTTAAATAGGAACTCAGTATTCAGTTGTTGATCGCCCCTTACACTAATTGGATGAGGACAAAGGTGGCTCTGGCACCACCAAAACGCAAGTAGGAAGCTGGTATGTAGATGCACCACATCCATCACAAATGCCATAATGTTTGACCCATCCCCAGGTCCAGACATCGCAGGCCTCAAGAAAGAGCCGGTGAGTTGGTGCAGCAGCTGTGCGAAGCAGTGACCGAAAGAAACCTGGATGAATTGACTTTGCACAGCCCAGTTCATGAATTCATCCCGGTGACCTTCCCGGCAGCGAAACAACGAACATACTGCAGACTGGAGATAGAAGAAACACAAATCCAAAAAAGGATCCTGAGTGAACTCGAAAATGTTCAGAGAAGCTACCAGCCCATGGCCGGAGGTAGTGCTGGTAAGATGATGGTAGAATAAAACAAACACCCAGTCAGTGGATAACCTGCAAAGCCTTTCAGTGATTAGGGGCATCCCACTGGAAATTAACAGATAAAAAATAAGAAACACATAGCCGGCTAACTCTATTTTCTAGCGAGAAACACATAGCCGGCTAACTCTATTTTCTAGCGAAACGGCAGCGCAAGGAGTCAGTACTTTTTAGCATTATAGCAGCTAATCGAAGTGGGATGAAGTTGGTCTTTTTTCATTAAACTCCCCACGGGTTTGACTATGACCACAATCTCAGGAAATCTTGCGGCGACTTTGCTGCCAGAAATGAGACGTTCAAAGCAGATTCTGGGGCAAGTCTTGAGCATGTTCCGTGAGCAAAACCGATGGCACTTGGCATGCGTTGTTTTGGAGGCGATCAAGGAAGATGGTGGCATAAAGCTGAATGAGTCCAATTATACAACTGGGATTTCAATTTGTGCGAAGGCGAACGCGTGGCAGCAAGCCTTGAAGTTGTTCCAGGCCATGCCCAACGCGAAAGTTCAGCCAGGGGTTATCAGTTGCAGTGCTGCCATCAGAGCCTGCGAAAGGGGCAGCCAATGGCAGCAAGCATTGAAGTTGTTTGAGGCCATGCCCGAGACACATGTTCAGCCCGATTTGATCAGCTACAGTGTGACCATCAGCGCCTGTGAGAAGGGTGGTCAATGGAAACAAGCATTGAAACTGTTTGAGGCCATGCCACATGCTCAAGTCCAGCCGGACGTCATCAGCTACAGTGCGGCCATCAGTGCCTGCGAGAAGGGCGGGCAGTGGCAGGAAGCATTGGAATTGTTTCAGGGTATGCACCATGCGCAAGTTCAACAGAACATCATCAGCTACAGTGCTGCCATCAGTGCTTGCGAGAAGGCAGGGCAGTGGCAACCAGCGTTGAAGTTGTTTGAGGGCATGTGCGAGTGGAAAATTAAGCCGGATGTCATCAGCTACAATGCTGCCACCAGTGCCTGCGAGAAGGGCGGGCAATGGCAGCAAGCATTGCAGCTATTTAAGTCCATGCCTGATTTAAAGGTTCAACCCAACATCATCAGCTACAATGCAGCCATCAGCGCCTGCGAAAAAGGTGGACAATGGAACGCAGCGTTGACGTTGTTGGAGGGCATGTCGACGGCAAAAGTTCACCCAGATCGTATCAGCTGCAGTGCGGCAATCAGTTCCTGTGAGAAGGGCGGGCAATGGCAGCAAGCACTGAAGTTGTTTGAGGCCATGCCCGAGGCACATGTTCAGCCAGATCTTATCAGCTACAGTGCGGCCATCAGTGCCTGTGAGAAGGGCGGGCAATGGCAGCAAGCGTTGCAGTTGATCGAGGCCATGCCCAAAGCGAAGGTTCAGCCGGGGGTTGTCAGCTACAGTGCGGCAATCAGTGCCTGTGAGAAGGGCGGGCAGTGGCAGCAAGCATTGAAGCTCTTTCAGGAAATGCCAGATGCAAAGGTTCAGCCCAACATCTTCAGCTATAGCGCGGCAATCAGTGCCTGTGAAAAGAGTGGTCAGTGGCAGCAAGCATTGATGTTGTTTGAGGCCCTGCCAAAAGCCAAAGTTCAACTTGATGTCGTCAGCTACAGTGCAGCCATCAGTGCCTGTGGGAAGGGTGGGCAATGGCAGCAAGCATTTGAGCTGTTTGAGGCCATGCCCAAGGCAAACATTCAGCCCAGGATCATCAGCTACAATGCGGCCATCAGTGCGTGTGAAAAATGTGGGCAAGTTCACCAAGCATTGAAGTTGTTTGAGGGTATGCCCGGGGCTATAGTTCAGCCCGACGTCGTCAGCTATAGTGCGGCCATCAGTGCTTGTGAGAAGGGCGAGGAATGGCAGCAAGCATTGAAGTTGTTTGAGTCCATGAGAGCACAAAGGGTTCAACCCAATGTCATCACCTACAATGCGGCCATCAGTGCCTGTGAAAAGGGCGGGCAATTTCAGCAAGCACTAATGCTGTTTGAGGCCATGCATACAGTGAAAGTTCAGCCCAATGTCATCAGTTACAGTGCGACCCTGAGTGCCTGCGAGAAGGGCGGTCAATGGCGGCAAGCATTGAAGCTGTTTGGGGCCATGTCTAAAGCAATAGTTCAAGCAGATGTCATCTGCTACAGTGCGGCCATCAGTGCCTGTGAGAAGGGCAGGCAGTGGCTGCAAGCACTGATCTATTTTCAGGAAATGGCCTCGCAAGGGGAATCTTTGGCCAGATCATATCAGCCGAGCAGTCGTTTGGCGTTCAGCCTGTGAGCAGTCGTTTGGAATGGTTACAGCATTGACGGTTTCTATTCTTGGCCATGTCCGGAGTTTCAGCCAAGTTTGATCACTTTGCTGCCTTTGACGTGTCAATCGGCAATGTGACCTGGACCAGAACTGTCCATTGAGCGAGAGCTTCACGTCGATCGACCAGCCCATGACTTCCTGCCGTCGAGCACAAGCGGTAGCTCCACATCAGTGGTGCTTGGTAGCGGGGCATAAGAAGAAGTTGACAAGTCTCATCCAGCACCCCCGGTCGGGGCGGTTAGTGGACACCCCGAATCATAGAGTTTCGGGGCTATACATATAGACACCCCGACAGGAGGGTCCTGGATGTAGTCGTCTCATATAAAAGTGTTGCAAGGAGTTGGACACCGTACGGCCTGATGGTGTGCATCAGATACGTGCCAATGCTTGGATCTCTTGCAAAGTCTTGGGCTTGCACACGGGTCCAGGTCGAATTGGACTTCCTTTGAGGCAGGTGCACTTCACGTGTTGCCGGCTTGAACCACTGAGTCTTGGACTTTGCCTTTGCTGCATCACCCGGCATCACGAGCAACAGCCCACCTGCCAAGCGGACAAGCCTACTAGTTTGATCACTGATGAATGGTAAGGAAACATCGGGTTCTACACAGCCATCACGGGCAATTAGAATTTTGATGCTTCCCAGACACTCCCTGTATGGAATCCTGAAGCCAGCCCCATTTATAGATTCATACACAGAGTGTTTGGGTTATTGCTGGAAACGACTCACTTTGGGGCCTCACCACCACTGTTTGCTTCCACAAGCATTCTCAGACCAGAAAGCACAGTTCTTGTGGCGTGGCAAGAAAACAAGGCCGAAGGCAAGTCCATGCAAGTCTTCATCTCGCACAGCTCTCCCTACCCAATCAGTAGATATGGCCTGATAGCCTTTAGCCTTTTTTGGGGATTGTTTTCCCAACACAATATGAGCAGATGGAACAAGGCTGAGGGAATCTGATGGAGTCAGACTCCTGTTTGCATTTTCACTTGCCTAGCTAAGCCTTCAGCATCGTTTGTATTCAGGGATGTGTTTTGGGGATGGGTGGTTGTCAATGGTTTTCAGACATTTTGGTTTTCAACCTTTCCATTAGGATGATTTCACCCACTGACTCACATGTGTTCTTCGTTTTCATTGCCACCACCTACTTTGACTTTAACCAAAATCTTTCGTGGGATATAGGAACCGGTACCTTCCCCGGTTGGTCTAGTCATCCCTTTTCCGGAACTCGGACTGCGTCGTCCCATATTCGAGGCTGCCAAGCCGGAGGAGCTGCGCACCGCGCTGGCGGCGGAGTCGGACGCGGCACCTGGGTGGCGGAAGAATCGCACGGCCCATGGACAACTGGAAGAAATTGGACGTGCAAAGAACCATGAGTGGCCATGGGCCAGACACTCCATGTATGGCATATTTCCTTACATTGGGGTGGTTTCAGTGCTCAATGTAGGCATATGTGCCATACATGGAGTGTTTGGGATGGGCCATGACCATGGGACTGAGTTCCAAGTTCCCTTTTTCGGACTTTCCTGAACACTCAGCACCGCCCCCCGGGCGGCCATGTGTGCCTCATTTGTAGGTTTTTTTGAAGATTCCAGTCCCATGGATTGTTGGGGTAGGGAATTGGCCGGTGATTTTGGAGAAACTCAAGCCCAGTCAAACCAAGAATTCACAAGAATACTTGGAAGAACCAGGATGATATAATGAGTGGACAGCTCCTCTCCATATGGTGGAATATGTTCCCCGCCTCCTCCGGACGGTGTTCGGTGTTCGGTGTGGAGCGCAAAACGACACGGTGTAACGGTGAAGGAGCTGAGAAGGGTGTGAAAGCCTGCAAGGGTGTGCCAAGTGGACCTTTAGTGAAGTCTTTTTGGAAGTTCAGTGGGCAAAAAAAAGAGCGTATAGACGATGACTACCACCATCATTGCCGAAGACATACATGGAGAGTAGCCAGTGCGAGCCGCGCGTCACCGCACGGCAAAATGACCTAAGTGGCCTTAGTCAAAGCAAGCCAAGACCAAAACTGACAAATTCAAGACCTGCGCGCTTCCAGGCACCGCTGCCTAACCGCTGCAAGCCACCTCATAATTTTTGGTTTCCACCAAGAGCTTTCCTTTGGAAAGCCCAGTACCCACCGCGCGTCTCCGCGCAACAATGACCTAAGTGGCCTTAGTCGAAGCAAACTCAGACCAAAAACTCACAGATTCAAGACCTGCGCACTTCCAGGCACCGCCGCCTAACCGCCGCAAGCCATCTCAGAATTTTTCCATCAAGAGCTTTTCGGTTTGAAAGCCCAGAAGGCCAGCCCAATCTATGTTGCATAACGTCAAAACAAGAAGCAAAGGAAACGTCCGGGGGCCTAGGGGCAAAAGTACAGTCCCAAGCACAGTGCCGCCATGTAGCGCGCTCTCCCTCCCCACCACACCAAGGATAAGAGAACCCAGAACCAGGGACCATGTTTTCAAATCTCGCAGGGCTGACTTGAGCCCCTGTGACCACCGCCACTTCATGGCTGGACAGGTGCAAAAGCCTGAGGATCTTGACCCGAGGCGCAGAGTAAATTGTTCCCGCGCACTCACGGCTATCCACTCGATCCATGGCTAGCCATTTATGAAAAAAGGTGTGCCTCCAAGATTCTCGGAGAAGGTGCCGGACCTCACGCACATGGTCTTTCCAACCAGCATCCTGTTCAATGAAGCTCAGGGTCGTTTGCAATCCCGGATGAGACCAAGTCCAAGAGGAGGACTCCGTCCAACCAAGGTCATGAAGTCCTTGACGCAATGCGCCAGGCCAGCCAGACTTTTCATTTTGCCAATCCAGCAATTGTGTGTGATGTCTTGAGACCAACCTATACAGGATGGAGCAAACGGTATGCACGGACTGAAATCGAAGGTCCCACGCGTGGCCTCTAACAATACCATAGAGGTGTGTGCTAGCATGTGTAGGGGTCCTGAACAACTTTCGGCAAATGGCCTCAAATGGTCTGACGTCCACAAGGGCAGGCCTTCGGAATGCCCAACCCCAGATTTATGACATAGGCTAGGGCCTTCCTGAGAAGTGACTGGAAGGTGCAGCATCGAGGAAGAATCAAATTTTTCAGCATCCGCAGGGCCACTGTTTTTTATTTTACTGTATTTGCATTTTTTGAAGGAGCGACAGTCGGGAGCCAGGTGCCTGGTGGGTCACTGCTCGGTGCTGAGGTGGTTCAGGAGTACATTTGCAGACCGTTGCTCATAGATGGCCATAAGTGGGATTTGTGCCTGGGATGTGAGATGAGAAGGGCTAGAAGATGAAGAGGAAGGGCTGAGAGGATTTGTTATAACTTTTTGTTTTAAAGGGTTGATGGGATAAACGGATTCGGAGGTTTAGTCCTGGGCCTTGAGTTTGAAAAGTGAGTGATTTCAACGATGCACTTGAGAGCGTTTTCATTATTGCGTTGAACCTTCTTGCATCAACAGAAGCAATTCTCAGCCAATGTTTGGCCTACTGAAGAGCCTTTAACCTTTTTTGGGGATTGATGAGGATTAGTTTCCCCACTCAACAGATGGAAAGCTTGGTCAACATTCATTATATATATATATATCAAGAGGGAAACTGAGGGAGTTAGTTCTTCTATGTCCTTTTGCGACCCATCCATGTAAGTAACTATTCCATCATATTAATATTCCATCCATGGACCATGGATGGTTTGGGAACTCACCCATCGCAGGGAGTCTCAACTAAAGCCCTTGGAAGCTAAGGCGTCTTTACGCCCTGGTGGCTCGGCGAGCAGGGTGGGAGCTGTACGCCCTGGTTCCGGGACCTGGTTCCAGGAATCCGAAAACCACCTTGTTTCGAACTCGGAGGTTCCAGGGGAAGAGCCTCCAGACTGATGTTGCTGACTCGGATTCGCCACCCCCATATAAGTGCACCAGACTATTTGGTAGGCGCAGGCAGTGGTTTGTGCTGAGGTTTGTCCACGGCAGTCCACAAACAGCGCAGCGTCCGGGTCAGACGGCAAGACAGTTCTGTTTTTGTTTTGTGGACAGGGGAGAGTATTTGATCTATATGTCTTCTGACGGAGAGACTGACACTCGGAGACCCGCTCACAGGGCTTACAGTAGTTGTTTTCTTTGACCCTAAGCTTTGTTGCACTCTGAGGTCATGCCTCATAGACAAGGCCTCCGCTGCTGGTTGGCCAAGGAAGGCATCGCGCGCGTGTGCGCCGAGCCCTACCAGGACACTAAGTGGATCGGTGTGCGGCAGCTGGCACCAGGTGAAACCTTCAGTTGTTTGTAGACTTTTGAGATCTGTTGATCTATATATGACCCAGAATCGTTTACGTCTCCATCTGGGGAGGTCTTATTAATCAACAGCCTACATGATTGTGTATGTATATATATATATATTATCAAGCTGCTCACTTTTCAACAGGCTTCTGCCTGGCTTAGAGAGCGGTCCGCAGCTGATCTTTGTGTCCCTTGTCGCGGTCCGGAGACCCCCTGGCCCGTTTCGGGTTGACTGGGAGTTAGAGACCTCCCTTTGACACTACACACCCACATAGATGGTATATGCATGTTCAGTTCCTGGATAATTATACACATAGAATAGAACACCGTTTTCTTGTGATTTTATGGCTTCTGATGTACTGTACCTATTTGTACCCCGTTTGTCAATGCAAGAATAGAATCAAAGTGATTATCAGTTTCATCCACATGAGATCCCTCACGGTCGATATGATCCGGATGGCTGGTAGCTTCATCTAGCCGTTGGCAAAGCAGGGGGCAATATATGTTTCAAGAAGGTTCCTATACCAGCAGACCGTGTCAGGCATATGTGTTGGTAATAGGGTATGCATACAGTCCGCCCGTTAGGGTTCAAAGACCATCTCTTTGGGTCTCCTGGTGCCCTCTATGTAATTATTGTATGTATTTACAGCCTCTCTTAGCCCTCGGTGCTTTACCAATTTGGGTTCCACACCTGTTGCGCAGGGTTC